CTATGGTCAGGAGTGCAATACATTTTTTCTACTTCAAGTTATATGATGAAAAAAACTATTCATTTAGTACTAAATTATTGACCGTTTGAAAAAATTGTTATAAAATTCAAGTAATTCCAGCTCAACTTCGCTGAAACAACAGAACAAGTTCTGATGTAATTTCACTTCTCAATTCTACCTTAAAGACTCCCATGCTCTTGGTCAGGAGTGCAACAAATATGTTAGAATTTTTGCTGATCAAATATGAATAAATATAGAGAAAAAAATGATGAGTAGAATGTTTCTGGTTGACCTCTGTAGCTTACAGTGTTTGTCCTGTGAAAGAAAATATGCTATAAAATATATTTTATCTTCTAATAAATATATATTTTTAGCTTCTTCTTTTTTTTTTTTTTTTTTTTTTTTTTTTTTTTTTTTTTTTTTTTACATAAATAGGAGATAACTCAAGATATAAACCCATACTTTCATGTGTTTTAATTATGAAGTATTAGACTATAAATATTGCACAATTTCGTTACCATTGCCAACATTTTATGAATTTTGGTGTTCTATGGTTATAGTTTTTAATTTTACTGCAGTCAGGGGTGCAACAAAATTGCTTTATAATTATCAATGATCTTTAAAATAAATTGAAAAAAAATGTTTGATACTTTTTGATGTTCAAAACATTCTGTTATTTCAGAGGATAGTTTTCATCACTTAACACATATTTTTAAATACAATGTATATATATTACACATTGCAAATAATCATGTTTTAAAGTCTTGAAAATATGAAAAACTTGCTGTAAATGATAAAAGATATCAAAACGACGAACAGATTTACAAACTAAGATTGGGTTATTGTGTGTTATAATTTTCAAAACAATGTTAAATAAAATACATATTGGATGTCGGATGTCAGGAATGCAACACAATATTGTAAAATAGGGTCACTTCAAAATCTAGTATATTTTGTAAGAAAACTTGTATTATATCAAATTTCTTTTTAGGCCTAGATTTAAGGAGTTGACTTAAATGGACAAAAAAAAGTGATGGGGATATTTTAATGTTTCATATTTCTTTTAAAAACTTTTTAAATCAGAATTGAAAAAATAATGTAAAATAACATTCAAAATGCCATTTTTTCCCACATATACAAGAGAAGAAACTCAGTCAAGGTTTAGATCTAATCATTTATATCCATGATACCATTTTGATGTATAAAAAGCTATAATTTCTTTTGATTATGAATGTTAGGAAGTCTTTCAGGATGTAGTGATATTTTCTTTTTTTAAAATAAAGTTTTTTTTAAAGAAATTCTATTTGATGGTCATTATTTTTTAATTCACCCATATAATATTTAGTGTGGCATTGCTACTCTCGAGTTTTTTCAATGTACACTATACCTGGGGATCGTTCCCTATAAAATTACAAATCATAGCCGTGTATTATTTGAGAAGATTTTTGCATGATCTCGGAGAGTGTTAAGCTCTCTGATTGAATTAGGAATTAGGCTTTAAGCATTCTGTAGCTTACTGTTATTTCAATTTTGAGGTGAAATAAAAGAGATCAGTAGAACCTAGGTATGGGCACCTAGTTTAAAATTATCCAGTGTAGTACTGTTTTGTAGCAATCGCATCTTCTCGGGTCTTTCCGGTAACATATACAATCTGATTAAAATCAGATCCTTTGATCCGCTCACATGGATTGCTGCACAAGGCGAAGATTTTAATCAGGTTTGCAACATATATATCCGAGATTGTTTGCCGAGCTTGCCAGAAAGAAGTTAAGAAAAACTTGGTTAGGGTTTTAGTATTCTTTTAGAATTAACCGATCTCTTCAGTCTTGGCATTATAAGACCTAAGTTTAACTGTTACTTTTTTTTAACATTTGTATACAGCTTAGACAACAAAGCACAAAACTTCAGATCATATGTATTTTCAGATAATTAAACGAAATTTACATGGTACAGTTTATCTACAGTTGTGTTCCCAGAATGCCTTACCGTGAAGTCGAGCATGCGTATTCCAGGAAAATAGACTAATGTAGTCGCTCGAGAGCGCTAGCAAAAAGATTTTTAAAGAGTCTTCGTACAGGATATACTTGCAACCTTTATTATGGTCTTATCCTGGGTACCACCGAGGGCCATAATTTTAATAAAGAACAACTTAATTCAATACTAATGGCAATTTGGCCAAAAAATCTTTCTTGATTGCAAAGAAGAGTTCAATAAAATTTAATATTATTGTCAAATAGTTAATTACTATTAATTTCAACTCTTTTTATAAGGGGGGGGGGGGGGGGGGGAGCCGATGTTTTCCTTGAAATCAGACTTTAAAGCATCACCAGATTTTAGAATATTCTTGGATATAAAATAAATGACCCTTATAAAAATCTTTTCTTATGTTTAACTTATGTAAAATGTAAAATTTAAACTTATATCATAATTGAAACAAGAAGAAGCTTTGTTGCCCAAAAAAGCAAGAGAAATAGGATGATATCAGGATCATCGAAATAATTAGTTTAGTATTCAGTAACAACTTAATCTGTCCCCAATTAGATTTTTCTTCTATAAGTTTTATTTTCTATTATGGCCCCACCCTACCCCCGGGGGTCATGATTTGAACAATCTTAATCTACACTACTGTAAATCACTTTTTTATTCGCGAGAACTTCATTTACGCGTAATTACGCGAGAAAAACGTGCTCTAAAAAAATTTTCATTCTTGTGTATATAAGTATTTCTAAAGATTATATAGAGCAGTAACCACAATTCGTGAATATTCTGTCTCGTTAATAAAGAGTCAATAACTATCTCGCGAAAATTTAGTGATCTACAGTACCTGAAGATGCTTCTGTATTAAAATGACTAATCATGGCTTTGTTGTTATTGAAAAGAAGATTTTTAAATGATCTTTCCTATATATTCCTAACTAAAACTTTTATCACCTGTTGTGCCCCCACCCTACACCAGGGGGTCATGATTTGAACCAATTTGAATTAACATTACCCAAGGATGCTTCCATATAAATTATGGCTTTGCTATTCTTGAGAAGAAGATTGTTCAAGATTTTTCCTATGTATTCCTTTGTTAAACTTTGATTGTCCATTGTGGCCCCATCCTACCCCTGGGGGTTATGATTTTAACAAACTTGAGTCTACACTACCTGAGGATTTTTCCATATAAGTTTCATATTACCTGGTCCAGTGGTTCTCGAGATTTTTAAAAGATGCCATTAATTTTAAACTAATTCTTAATTATCTCTCCTTGGAAGAAGGCGTGGCCCTTCATTTGAACAAACTTGAACCACCTTCACCCAAGGATACTTTGTGGCAAGTTTGGTTGAAATTGACCCAGTGGTTCTTGAGAAGTCGAAAATGTGAAAAGTTTATGCACGACACACATCCGCACGACGACGGACGAAAACAGATAGCAATAGGTCACCTAAAAAATACAATGTTTAAGTACATTCCATTGAAATTGGTGAAAAAATGATCATTTTTGCTGTTTTTGTCTGTAAACATACCCCACCCCACCCCCCGGTGAAACAACAAAAGCTTTGGTATGAATTTGTTAAATAACAATTCTTAATGCCTGTAAACAGGAATTCTTGTTTCATGGAAATATTGACTGATTGTATGTTGTTTTACGTCCCATTCGGGAATTTTTCACTCATATAGAGACATCACCATATACTGGTGAAAGGCTTCAAATTTAGACCTATACTCGGCACTTAGGGCCATTAAGCGGCGAGGGTTCTTTGTCGTGCCAACGCTTATCGTGACACGTGACCTCGGTTTTTAATGTCTCGTCCGAAAGACCCGTGACTTTCACCTCTAGTGCCGGGCACTTGGCGAAGGAACAGTCACTACATATTGCTATGTTTTCGTCTTAGGTTTGACGCGGAGCGGCGAACGAAAATCGAACCCCGGCCTCCCAATCACGAAGCGAACGCCCTACCACAAGGCTACCGTGACCCGTTTCACGGGGTGAAGTTTTACCAAAATTATGGAGTTATCTCTCTTTATTTTCCCAACTAAGTTATGTTTTGTGAAAATCTACATAAATATCTATATAAATATGAAAAATCATTCAGATATGTTAACTTTTGAAAATTGATTTGGAGGCAGGCGGCAGAACAATGCTATCGTTCGCAGTTCTTTGAATTTTAACTATATCAGGAAGTTTTATCTTCTTAGGTCCCATGGCTCTGTAGAAGATTCTACTGGTCCCAGTCCAGTCCTTTCTTGCCTTTTCTTGGATATTACCCTTTGGAAGCAGGCATGGCCTGTCATCTGAATTAACTTTTATCTCCTTTCATCAAATTATACTCTGTGCCAAGTTTGGTAAAAATTAGCTCAGGGTGTTGGAGAAGTTGAAAACCTGAAAGTTTTCTGAAAACAGACACACCAATTGTGCATTTGGCTCAGGTAAGCCAATAAAGCAGTTCAGTTTCGATTGTTTGATTTTTTTTCATTTACTTATAGATAGCTTATCTAATACAATATTGCACATTAAATACATTTCTTCCTTACGATTCCACCCATGATAGACAAAACAGGTGGGGGGGGGGGGGGGGGTGTTAAATCTTTTCCCTGTTTAAACTAAGAACAAACTTTAACTCATTATAGTTTGTTTTTCACTTGTGTAAAAGGTAGACAACTAGCAGTCAATATTATTTTTCCCCCATTTACAATGATACAAACCAAGACAATCCCTTTTAGAGTGATATAAACCAACACAATCCCATCTACAGTGATATAAACCAACACAATCCCGTTTACAGTGATATAAACCAACACAATCCGTTTACAGTGATATAAACCAACACAATCCCGTTTACAGCTATATAAACCAACACAATCCTATTTCCTGTGATATAAACCAACACAATCCCTTTTACAGTGGTATAAGTCAAGACAATCCCATTTACAGTGATATAAACCAACACAATCCCATTTACAGTGATTTAAACCAAGACAACCCCATTTACAGTGATATAAATCAAGACAATCCTGTTGCTTAGTTTTTCTTTTTATAATTACTTGTACATCAGTCAATCACATTAACAGTCATGTTCAGTACAAATACATGTATACAGCATGTTAACCATATTCTAAATATTCATTACACAATATTTGTAGATTAAAATTGATTTCAAATGTTCTGAACACTGTGCTTGTAACAGAGAAAACCTACATAATGGACAACCAATACTTGTTTCCAAGTACATGTAATTTCAAATGAATTTTAACAGAATCTGCATTTGAAGCATTAACTATAGAGTGCATTTAATTCATTCCAATAAAAATTTCACAAAAATTTCTACAGTAATCTCAATAATGTATCTAGGCATTTTATGTTAGATGCTTTCATGAAGAATGACTAGAAAAATATGCTCTCACATCCTTTTGAAATAAAATAAGGCCCTATCTACATGAAGAGAAATAATATACAGCATTATGAATCTTATTCTGGGCTGCCAGGGACCAGCTCTGAGGTTTTACATATACAGGTATAGTGATAATATGTTATTATCTTGTCTACATCACATGAATAAATATGAAGTAAAAGTCATTCCTTTAATCCACAAGAATTTCACTCATGTGGATAACATTCTTTTTGGTAAAATTGTATCTTATAACTTATGAAATTCCTCTGAGTTATTTCCAAGAGTTAATACCCACATATCACATTATCTGTGAGGTATCATATTAATGTTCTTATACAACACCCTAAAATTTGGCAGCTCATCGTTTCATGATATAAATACTGTAAAATCCTAAACTAATCTAAGACTAGTGTGCTTGCACATATACATTCATTTGCATTGCTGACTGTATCAACATTTTGAGTCCCGGCATGAAGCTGCTGATTTCTGAGAAGTTGCCCTGACTAATCATCTGTGTGTAGATTTGTAGAGCTGTGTTGTAATCGTACTGTTGTATGGCCTGGACTATCTGATGTAGACCCAATATCACAGACTGGGACAGCTGTTACACAAAATAACAAATATTCAATGTACATAACAGTTATAAAACATAAAGCTAGCTTTATCTGTACATAAATCACTTGCATATTATACTTACACTATGGTCTCGCAATCTGTCATAGAGAAGTTCCAACTTTTTCGAAACGTCATCTAATTTTCTCTTCATTTGCTGAAATATATGTAGATGATTGTGTAGCATACAGAAATGTACATGTACATCTGTGTTTAATTGAATCAAATTATTGGAACACAGAACAGCTCAAATTCTACCAACACCTTAATGCATCTCTTTCATATACCGTATACATATACAAATTTATATCCTTATATTTTTTTCTACTTTCAACATTGTTAACATGTTCCACATGGAAAAGTAAAGTTGGAAAATAATTTCTATGCTCACAGCATTGGGGGCAACATTTGAATAGATGTGCACTAAGCTGTTGAAAATATCTTGTAAGACCTATCTATACTTACAGCATTTGAGGCCACATTTGAACAGTTGTGTACTAAGCTGTTGAAAATATCTTGTAAGACTTGGTGTTCAGAGGGGATTGGTCCTTTCTCCACAGGTTTAGGGGGCTCTGGAGGAGCTACAGAAGCTGCTGCCTGAAAATAATAACAGACCAACATGCTGAATCTATACAATGACCGGGGGTTGACAACTCTGATACCCAAGGTCAATGCTGATGATTTATTTGTAAATTCAAATTATTAATGCATGCATAATAGCAAATAAAAGTTAATAATATAAGTGTAAGTTGAATAATGGAACATGATGTTTTATCAGTTTTGAAATAAAACAAAAATGAAATCAAGCAGTTAAGATTGAACTTCAGTAACTTAAAATGTGCTATAAAATGTTGGATATGAGTTCTAATAAGTTTCTCAGTGTAATCTATGTGTAAAGATAAGGATCTGTTTTGTTCTTCCTAAGTGTCCATACTTTCTCACCTTCTGTTGAGAACCAGGGGGAGCAGAGGCATTTTGTAATGTCCTTGGGGGTTGGGCAGGCTGAAGGTACAGTGAAGGATTGTAATATGAGTGCATGCCATGCAGAGAATACAGAGAGAGAAAGCCAAGCTGTTCTGCTCTTCAGTAAAACTCTAATCATACAGCTATACTTTACATTCTCAACTTCATTCATGATTAATTATAAATGAACAATAATCTATTAATTCTAAATATTCTCTTCTTTGAGAATATTGCTGTAAAATACTGTAAAATCAAGCATTTTTCTAGGGTCATATTTTCATGGTTTGATAAAAAATACATCAAGGTTCTTGGGGATTTGTTTTGTGGTAATAAAAGAGACACATAGTTTGAAATTTCAAAATTCTGTGGAAGACCTGAATTCCTAAGTCCCTCCATACCATGAAAACAATGAAAATAAAACCCTCTTGAAAATTAGTGATTTAACAGAATTATGGAGAAAAATCTAATAAACAGTATAAAACTTGTTATTCAACAAATTAAAAACTGTACATTGCAAGAAGAGAACAAAACAAAACAAAAAAAAATTACATAGTTCCCTGCAATAGCTAGAATGAATTTAAAATATAAGGTACTCGTGTATTCATATATGAAGCAGTATTGTTAAGTAGTACAGTTAAGTTTATAGACATGTTAACTGTGATCAGCATGTGCTCCCTACCTGTATTTCTGCCTGGTGCTCCTGGGGGTTGTACAGGCTATAATTTGTAGCCCCTCCTGCCTGATTTGGGTCTTGAGGTACTAAAGTCCCATACAATGGACTTGTTATTGCAGTTCCATCATACTGTGTTGGTGGATTCTTAAAATACATATCATTTACTAATCAATGGGAATAGATTTTTTTATAGCTCTGAAAACAAAAGAAGAGTCATTCTGATTCTCTGTCAGTATTGAGACTGATCTTTACCTTTGGTTTCTTTTCTTTCAGAGGGGGAGGGTCATTCCAGGCTGAGGGGGGAGGGTTATTCATGAAGGAGTGGACATTGTGGTTGTCACTCACAGGTGGTGGAGCCATTGAAGCCGAGCCTGCTAATAAATCACACAGGTCACAACAAACATGTCTACATACAGCATACTGAACACAAACAGAAGCTATTACAATAACAGACAGTGGGTACCCTTATGAATTAGGGGTAATTATTTTTAGATATATAGTAGTAGATACCTGGATTATGAAAAGGCTGATACATATTTGTTGGCTGGTTTGATGGCTGGTTAGATGCTCCCATTCCACTATAATTAAGCACAAAAAACAGTTCAGGGGAATTGAAGAAAAATTTCAATCAATCAAGCAACCTTTTCATTCTTTTATGTATGTACAGTACATGTACGTTGCCAACTTTAAGTTATCTTGGAAATACATGCTTTGACTATGACACAGGTACAACAATTATTGTTGAATATACATGTACATATAGTATGTATAAAGACTTGATTAAGTGATGATATAAAGTAGGATATCACACACCTGTAGTAAGATGGATCATATGCTGGAACTGGATTATATGGCTGATTGTTGGGCTGGTAACCTCCTTGTGTGTAGGGGTCATAAGCTGATGTTGTGGCTGGGTGTGAGGGGTATTTATGTGACAGAGCACCTGTGAGGAAACACAACATGTTTTGATAGACTATTTCTTCAATAATACATTCTTTTATGCATACAGTTTTGTCTTAAGCCATTACATTCAGGGCAATAGCATACAACATAATTACAATCACTTATAATTACTACAAACAAAATTTGATGATGAAAAAAGAGCCTACCTTTAGACATGGCACCTGTGCTTGATGGAGGTGTCTTAGGAGCAACATTTGCTGTTGGATTATAGTACGAGGGTTGTGATGTCACCCCATTCATGTGTGTGTACGGAGCTGTATAACTCATTGGATTGTTGTAAGAACTACTGGGTGTGGTCACAGTTCCAAATGAGCCCTTGGCCTGAGTCTGATGAGTCCCTACCTGACCAGTCGGTCTCTGAGCCTGAGTGGTCCTCTGCTGGGGCTGAGGAGCACCTGCTGGTAATACATTTATCTTCTGGAATGGACACGGTGATCCCTGAACTCCCAGAGCATTATACAATCTGTCTTTCATGATCATGAGATTTGTCTGTAATAAACATTGAAATATGATATTAAAACATGTTGTCTAAGCTGGATTATCATTGATGAATCTTCGAAAACCTGTCTCGCTCTTAAGAATTAAAATTTTACATTTATTTAAAATTAACAAATATTAAATTTTTCCAGGTTTTGAATAACATACATCTGTAGAGTTTCCTAAATATCTGACAGCTGTGTCTAAGCTTCCCTGAGCTGCAAGGAGACTTGCATACTCGTTCATTTTCTCAGCCAATAGTCCTCCACTGATATCGGTAGCCTGTCCTCGAGACAATTCCACTGCTTTCCTCAGTAACATTACTTTCTCTACCATGTCCTATAGAGAAAATAGTAAAACTATAAAATTTCATTCAAGAACAGTTTACCAAAAAGAAAGCTTCTGTAATTCAAACTAGAAGTGTTATGATACGCTGTTTTAGTTTGTATTTCACCCTGTCCCATTTTGCTATACAAATATTAATCATGCAAATACAAACAGGTTAGAGAAATAAATTTAAAGACATGTACAAAGTATGTTATACCCTGACAATGCTGTATATGTGATGGTATTTACCTGTAAACCAAGTGGTGTGTTATTTCCTTCTGTGTTAGCGTACCAGTTTTGTAAGAGTTTTTCCACATTTCCAGAACAAATGTAACACAAACTGGCATACACACTCAGGTCATCTGCACTCTCAGATTCCAGTCGATTAGCCAAGCTGTCTGTAATCAAAAATCAATGTGCTTATCACTTATCCTGCTGTTACATAGCCTTCTTCATGTATTGTGGGATTTATTAGTTATAAATATGTAATTTACTTCAATGTAACATTTGGATTTAACACAATTCAGTTCCCTTTAGTCAGAAAGCTACATGACACTTTAACAAACATTTTACTGTAGCCACTCACCACACAGTGTAGAGAACTCATCAGGAGAAGCATAAGTTAAGATTAAAGCTAAAGCTTCCTTCCAGTTAGACAGATCACAGGTTTCCACAATGTGTGACCAGTCATGGGTGACCACCGAGGATATTAGCTGTACACAATAAAACAATCTCTTCATGAAACAAACTTCAAATTTAGGGATATGCTAAAATTTTCACTCAAATCTATCATTTACTTTAAATTATCGGTGTAATATCAATAATATCAATCTTTAAAGATACAAATTTCCATACTCTTCCTATGCTGCACTTGCTCTGCTGGAAGAATCTCTTCTGTGTGCGACTGAGAAGGTCCGGCCCTCCAGCTATGGCTAGGATAATAGCTTCTGCCATTTTGTTTTCACAAAGACATATCTCAACAGCAGCTTCAAAGTTTCCAGTCAACAAGGCCTGACTTAAAAGTCCATCTGCATCTAATTACATGTAAATGAAATAATTCATGATTCACTCCAGCAAACATTCATTAAAAGCTATCATAATCATTCTGCAGTCATTAGATGACCAGATGACCAACTCATATCTTTTTTTGACAATAACCTTTATTTACTGTATCACCTTTTTTGACAAACAGCTAAGCCTGGTATAACAGCTTACCTTGATCTGTGGGTATAAGCAATGGTTTAAGTGACTCTTGGTCCAAATCCTCAGATTTACTACTCTGTGACAACCCAATCTCATCAAAAGCTGAAGCAGCTTCATCTTGACTCAATGGCGTCTGTAATAGTGAAGGTAAGCATTACCTAATATACACAGGAATTTCAACATCAAAAGTTTCTTTTAAACTGTCTGCAGGCAATGATCCATACTGACATATCATCAGTAAGTTGTAAATGAGCTTGTTTAATCCTACCTTGGATCCCACCACTGGAGAACCCTGGACAGAAGCTTGGCGCCCAGATTGCTGCAAGTCCTGTAGCAAAAGAAGGAAAGGGTCATTTGTTACTCAAACTTATCTTTAAATCAAAAACTGCAAATACAAAGACCAATTAGGAGTGAAACGGTTCACCACGGTATCGATTCACCGCGGTATTTTTTCTCGGTTTGATACACGGTGCAAAATCTCTAATTTTCAGTTCGGTTCATTTTTTGGTCGGGATCGTTATTCAGTCGGGTTTGGCATAAGGTAAAACACGTTACTCAGTATAAATAAGTATAGAAAACGTAAATTTTTGATGACTGATAGCTTGTAAAATAATTTTTGACAGTCAAATAATTTTAATCAATTTCTTCTAGTCAATTTGCAAATAAAATTCGTAAAATATGTGACTAGATTTAGAAAAAGAAAGCATAAAACAACGTTGAATTTGTTTCCTTCTATCAAAATGTATCGTATCGAAAATAACCGAACCGAGACAAAATTATACAATACGTATCGAACCGTGAAGGAGGTGTATCGTTTCACCCCTAAGACCAATGTAATTCCTTTGAATGATCTGAATCTGTAAAGAAAACCAGGCATGATAAACTGTGTACATGTACCTCAGGACTAAGCTGTGACATTTTCTGTGCAAGAATCTTTGCATCCACTCCACTGTCCTGCCCCATGCCAACATGTTCAGAAACCTGTGCAAATAATAAACAAACCGGTTAGACATCACATGGAAATATTGCAAAAATACAGAATAAGAAATGGTTTACATATCTTTCATGGACTTTCTGTATTAACATGATATTTTGATTTTGAATAATTTTCAAAAATTGGTCTTTGCCTATCACATCTACATACATATGTATTTTCCCAGAGAGAACATTTACCTTTTTAGCCAGATCTGTTTTATCGTATCCTAAGAGCTGAATAAAATGTTCTCTTGGCTCCTTTTCAAAATTGACTCTAAGGAAGTTCCATATATTTTCCTGTAGAGGATCTGTGCAGTTGGCCGATTTCATGGCACAATATTCCACATACTGGCCGTTTTCCAGAGCCTGCTCTAATTGAAGGGACCTCTGTAGCAGGTCCGTCTCCGTGACTACTTGACTGATGTACACCATCTTTGGGGCGGGCTGCTGGGGATTCTGAGATTTTTCTGTGTCAAAGCTAACAAGTCGACCACCAAACTGATGAAAGAAAAGGACATTCAAAAATAATAAAATAACTTTTCTAGATAGAATTTTTAACTGTATTGTGGAGTTCTGAAGATATGCTACACTTGGTTTCACAAAGCAGAAGGCACACTTCTTACTCATTGCTTACCCCGAAGTTGGCTCCCACAGGCTTTCTTAACCACTTGGGTGGTTTCTGAAGAGGCATTACATTTTGCGTAGTCTGAGATGGTGGACTGGTTTGTGCAAATGGATCATTCGATTGAAATGCATCAGCAACCTGGCATCATAGAAATAAACTAATGAACTCATTGGTAAATGAGTATTCACTGAAATGAAAACTGTAATTTGTAAAAAGTTTCTGTTGTGAATGACTCCTTATTAAGCCTTTACCTTGTCACTGTGATGGATTGGATGCCCTCCTCCCATCAGAGAATACACTGTAACATGACCATCAAATGAAGAACTAGAAATAACAGCTGGATTCCGAGGACACCACTTCACATCAAAGCACCACTGATTGCTTGTAGGTAACTCATATACAACCTGTTAAAATTAGCCATAAAGAAGTGAGTTCTAACACTTCATACTCTTTTTTAATGCAGTCAAGTGAATTTTCTGATGTCTTTCAAATGTACCTCTCCTCCTTGGACATTACTGTTGGGGTTCCAGCACAGAATTCTATTATCTTTTCCACAGCTCAATAATAAGTCTGGATCTTGTGGACACCATGCTATATCTAGCACACCTCTAAAACATTTAATGAAGAAAGTTAAACCATCCAATATTAATTAGATGTATATAATGAAAATCACAAATAAAGAACAAGTCTCAATAAGGCTTATCTGTGGTCCTTGTTACTAGTCAAATTTTGAACCTTTATTAAAAACCTTTATGACTGGATATATTATTAACTGATGTCTGTATAATTTGAGGCAAGATCTGAAAATCACGAAAACTGTTTGAAGGTGGAGTCCCTCGATTTTCATGAATAATAAAAGAAATTAAGTGACAGGTGCATACTTTACAGGCTTTCATAAACACTGGGCAGATTTGTTCAGTCATAATGTGCAAATGTGTATATGGTACAGTTGGTATAAAAGTTGAGTGAAATTATCTTTGTTGAACAACCTCGCACTCCATGTTTTCCAATTAAAAGTACTGTGATTTTGAATATGTTTGCCGACTTCACTTAAATGCTATTATCATCTTTACGACCTGTTTAGAAATCACGTGGATCTTTATTGTCATAGGTGGATGCCCCATGTTTTAGCAAGAGACTACCTTGCACTTAAAAAGTACTCAGTTTTACATCAGTCAGCATGAACTTGTTTGGTTCATCTTATTAGCATTTTATTGCAAAGTTTTGTACATGTACATAGAAAACTGATTTTTTAGTTTATTGAAATAACTGAGAATGTTCCAGAAATTTAACATTTAAATAGGTGTTAAATACTGTATGCTAATTTTTAAAAGGTAGAATAAGGGCAAAAACAGGGATCATACTACTATACTTGTGTAAAATTCCTTTTTGAAGCTTATTTTAATTTCTGCAAACCAAAGATAGATTAATCACTGTATTTAAGATACTCTTGTATAGTTTTTTCAAGTAGATCTGTAATTGATACCTGGTGTGATTCTCCAGCTGTTTGACAGGTGAGGTGGCATAACGAAGGTCCCACAGCTGGATCACTGGAGTATGATCATCCTCCGACGACAAACACAACTGTGTGGCTACATCAGGGTGCCAGCTCACAATTTTGGCTTTTATCTATTAGAATTTGAAATAATATAATCCAACAAAATGTACATATACAGGGCTCTAATTGGCGACTAATCTAGTCGCCATGGCGCCTAAAATGTTTGATTGGCGCCTAAAGTTTTTCCATAAGTCGCCAAATTCGCGACCATTTTAAATTGACTTGGCGACCGTTGAATTCTGGAAATTTCCATATTTTTTACAATTTTTCTGAAAAAGAAATTTAAAAGAAGAGGAAATTCCTTTACCAATGGACATGTCATGTTTTCTTGGGTACATCATGGGCCCCTATATTCTATTAACTTTTAAAGTTGGCGCCTTAGAAAAATTGCCTGGCTACTAAAATTTTGCATTGGCAACTAATTTTTTTCTGATAAGGCGCCAGTTGGAGCCTAAATTTTAGAGGCCTGATATATGTGGATTTTCCTGTTCATCAATGAGTCTTCTTGACCATTCTGACAATAATAACCATACATTACAATTAATGCCTTACCCGTGACATGCTATCGCTGATCTTGATTATAGGTTCATTCTTTCTTAAATCCCACACAACACATCTAGCAGCAAATGTAGAGCCCAAGATATGCTGCACTTGCTTGTTCCATGCTACACAGGCAACCTCTTCTGGGGGCTATAAACAATATAGAGATTCATTTAAAACACACTCTTCTTTGTTATGTGAAAAATGATGAGGCTATGACTTCCAAATTTTACTTACCTGAGATTTGGCCCCTGGTGTCATGGGATTATCTGGTTTATTCAAGTCCCAAATATAAATCTCTGATTCTGAAGCCCCAGAGGCCAGTAAATTTGTCTGTAAATATGACAAAATGTAAGTTTAAAAGGGGATTCTTCCTCATTGTAAAACAACTGTTCCATAGCATAACAATTTTATCTTTTTAACGACTTTTACAACTACAGTAATATCTTCAACTCTAAAAGAAAAGCCTCTATAAGAGCAATATATATACATACATCAATCATTTAAACACAATACTCTATCAGAAAGTTATTATTTCTGACATCTCTAATAACTGTTACAAGCACTATATTACCTGAAAAGGGTTAAAATCTAAAGCCTTGACAGCTCCAACATGCTTGTTTTTCTTAAACATTAGACAGTCTTCATCTCCCTTGATCATACCAGCAGCATCATAGTAGTACATACTTCCATTGTCAGCTCCCGCCACCACAACTCCTGATGACATATTAGTACTGGTCATACCATGTGAACCCCATACTACTTTATGAAACCTGGAAAATAAAGGACATTGTTATATTCAGAATTCCAGTGCAGAATAGTTTTCTGTATCTAAATCGTAAATTGTGTAAAGTAAGTATTCTGAAAAAATATAATACAATTGTTGTTGAATTAAATTTACAATGTTATCCTTGTAATATATATTAATCCTTATTCCATTCTTAAGTTTTAAACATGTAGCAATATCTATAACAAAAAAACTTTAAAGCAGCCGAGTAGCTGAGTTTTGAATTCAGATACACCATATTCTGCATTTATGCAATTCTTCCAGTTAGCACACTGTAATTCCAGTATTGAAAAAAATTATTATCATATATTTATATCATTGTGTTTAATATTGCAATATACCAACAAACCGGTAATATTGAACACCCCCTATAAAGTATAAATGCAATATTACCTGCACTCAGATGGTACTGATGCAACCAATGGCATGTCTAAAGAAGGATCTGCTAGATTCAGATGGTAGACCTCAAGAGCTGCAGATGTGCTAAAAATACAAGTAACTGTTTTCACCTCATTGATACATGCTTCAACTCTCTTTATTAGTTTTCACTGAAATAGCTCACAGCCTCACACTCACTTTCTTATCACACAGAGTTTTCATATTTCTACACATGCATGCTGCTTCATTCTTTTTTTTTTTACCTAAATGTTGCGTCCAGTTGCTGCGCTGCGGTTCCAGCCACCATGTAGATTGGATATTGCTGAGCTGGGGACCAGGCCACATTGGCTGTCCTCTCTATCTCTTTCACCCTCATCTCTCAAAGTTTTAGTGCTACTCTGCAATATCATGAACAAGAACATACATGTAATACAGCAATTTTTTTCTACCCATTGGGAAAGGGTCCGGTACCGGTTCAATTGGGAAAAAAAGAATCGAAGTAGAAAAAAGGAAAATTTCCTGTCAATTAAACAAATGAAACGTATTTTGCGTTTATTCCAACCTCGTTACCTAATACTCCGTGTTTCAAAGAATAAACAAGTATTATTGTTTTCAATATCAATGTCCCTTGTTTTCACATTTTCATGCTTTTATTTGTCAAAATGTATGACACTACACTGTTTACACAACAGGTCCCGCCATATTACGACTAATCTCTACTTTCGATTTAAATGGAAGTGAAACTATTGGTCAACTTGTACAATGTTTCATTTAAAAACAAATACGATGTCATCGTAGTCTGTTGCTTGGCAGTTGAATTGGGAAATTTAAGTCTCAAAATTGGGAAAAATTAACGTTTTTTGGCATTGGGAATGGTACCGTTTATCGGTACAGGTACCAGTTATATAAGGAAAAAAAACGCTGTATAATATTAAAGCTCAACAAGATTTGTAAAAGGACTGTGTCTGCCATATTTGGATTGGATTCTCGCTATATCTGAGGGCTCCTATATAAAGCCGCTGACTTGGTCACTGTTCAGTGTAATCAATCGTCACAAGTGTAGAAGGACATATGCTATACAGCACTCGGTAGCGACAAAATATAACTGTGTACCTATTCTAATGCAGGAGAGAAAGATACCAAAGAAACTTACAACAGTTGCACAGGTCAGTGCAGTATGCAAACAAACACTTGTAAATACATGTAACTGCAATAACGATACCTGTGACAATAAAGCAGTCAGGTGTAATGAATGCAAAGAGTATACCCCAGTGCTGATATCGTAGATAGTAATATCAAAAAATGGCGTATGCCTCTTTACGAGTCATGTTCAGCTTTAATTTTGCTGTTGCAATATTTGGTACTCTCATCCTATATTCCATTAATTCATTCAACAAAAATAGACATAACATTTGCATTTTTCTTCAGTAAGTAATGGTTTTTCTTTAAGTTTATATTGTGATGGAGAAATCAATGCTATTTATTTCTTTATCTGTATTGTGTACGTTGTAGAACCCAATAATGTTTTTTTTTTAACGGTTTAAAAAAAAAATTGGTTCCTTTGAAGTTATGCTCTCGACATTTTGACAACTTTCTAACTACTTACGCAGGTAGGTTAAGGCTTCCCGTAGAATATCACAGTGCACTCTGTGCCTTCACATCTCTGAACTACCAAAGTATGACATCATAATGGAAAATGACGTCAAGTCACTGCAAACTAGAGGTGCTATGACGGGGAGAGTGTCATGAACTTTACACTTTATTTCAAACTGCATGTAAAATGCAAGATATCTATTGCAAAATTCACGGGTCGTTAAAGGTTTTTTAAGTCTTATATGTCCGAATATTTTAAAAATACACTGGTTACCTACCCTTGATTGAAATTCAGCCATGTCAAAAATGCTTATAAAAAATATAATTTTGAAATGTACTCTGTTTTATACCTGTGGTTGGAGGTAGAACTTATTTTGTGTGTATAAAAGAGTCTGGCGCAGGTGATTAATGAGGATTAATCTGAGAATTTTTGTGGAAATCTGTAAGGAGAGGTTGTTCTCTAACTGAATCTTGCTTGGGAAAAATGTGTGTTGGCTTTGTTTTAATACAGATTACTATATTGTGTGGAAAATACCCTCAAATTTGTAGGTAAGTGATGAATTTCTCAGGAAATATTTTGTACCCAAGTAATACTATGACTTTTCCCAAGCACATTTCGGATACACAAGGACACGATGAGTTTATTTATATAACAAAATGTTAATAATTATTGTGTTAATCAGCTGCGCCAAGGCGATTTATATGAAACACTTAAAAAGATCATAATTGACTGTCACGTAATCAACATAGTCATGTGATATCATAACAAATATGTTAATGTATAGCCGAGGAAATCCTCTATGTAAATTGGAAGTACTGAAGTTCAATACTTATAAATTAAAACAAAAACCGACCTCGCAATGACATATTATGTTTGAGCACATTTTAAAGCTTCGGGAAGCCTTAACATAGCTGCGTACATACCTCAATTCAAATTGCAGTATAACATATGAGAAAAGGCTTTATTTTTTTCCGTATCTACACTGGAGCTGATATAATGTTGACAGTGACAGACGGCCATTTTAAGATACCGGTCAACTTTACCTAACTATAATTACCTGTTTCTGTTCAACTTTGGTGACTTCTACGACGATATTTGTGAGATTAAATATTCATCCGTAACATAATATACAAAAAGATTCTATCTGAACACGTACTAATAAAACACTTGTATGTCTACACGTCAGTCTGCATACCAAACCAACGTGGCAGAAGGAAGCGTATCCCAGAATTATCTGCAATTTCAATACTTCCGGTTTTTAAGAACTCTTCTGTATAAGAGGTTAAATTATGCGGATCAAATTAGCGGGAAATGCCAATGGAAAACTTTGTAGAAGATGTGGATAGTGCAAGATGGGAGAAAGTTTATTGTCTCTACCAAAAGGCAATGAAATTGAAGATAGACAAAATGAAAAATGACAAAGGAAAGGAACTAGAAAAATTAGATCTTTGGTAATTAGTCATTATATTCTGATATTGCCATGACATGTACCAGGTCTGGTACAATCACTGGATTTAGCTACGTAGCTTGAATTACCTACATAGCTTTATTAACCTACCTGAAGTAGCTTTATTTAGCTACCAAATCAAATTTATTTTTTAATTTACCATTTTTCTGAGAAAGTGCAGAAAATTGCACTTTGATGCAGTGATAATTTTCAACTTTGAACTCATCTGAAAACAATTCATGAAAAAATCACTCTTGGAGATTTGTCCAGAGACTCCCTGTTGGTCTAGGACAAAGCCCTGGTAATTAACATGGGAGTAGATCCAATGAAACGTGGTGACTAATACTCTTTACAAACACTGACATGATTAAGCACTGGTCCTGCCAAAATTCCTTTAATCAAAGGAAATCCAAACAAATTTAACAAGACGTTTTGAAATTGATCAAAAAAGTTCAAAAGCTCAGGGACATTAAATCTCAGTCATCTGTCTGTCTTTCAAAAAAAAACCCTTTGACTAAGTTATAGGGCCCAAAATAACTGAAAACCGTGGTCCAAGTTGTTAGGCTCGGTTTCAGTTCCATTTTTCCAGAATTCAGTTAATGGGTCAGGTTTATGTATCAGAATCTGTTTTATAAGAAAAATGGCATCGAAATTAAAACCATGATGATGATGACAGTGATAAATAATCATCACAACTGAAATGTACTTCATCCATGACAAAACACTTGTAACAAAAGGATGGGATAATTATCAAAACGAGCAAGAATGGTCATGTTGTAGCTAACAGTCGGCTTTGCAGTCCTAAACACAGATGTTAAGACGTTAACATGGTTAAGACTTGTTTTCAAGGTGAATTTAATGTAACAAATAAAGATTTTTCAAGTTTAATTCATGAAATTAAGGTTTAAATAGAAGTAAATAACTAAACCGAAAAACCCAAAAGCGAACCGAAAATTTACAGAACCAACACAACCCGAAAAATTCCAGAACCGTGACAGCCCTACTAGCCTTTCTGAATGTTTTGTCACTTTTGACATCTTGACCTTAAAGTTTTGCCTACTTTTCAAAAAAAAGCTTTTGCATCTGAAAAGTTAGGGCTTTCAAATTACTGTGACAAGGCCCTGCTATATCAATATTGATCTGCATGTCTGTACAGTTTAAGCTTAGCCTTTAGATCACTTTACAGCTTATCTCAAAGGATATCCAATCTAAACTTGCAGATGTGGTGCATCTGTGGAACTTGATGAGATGCGTCCTCTGATTGCGTAGAGGAGGGGGGGGGATCAATCTCTTTAGGACAATTCTAGATATTATTTTGAGTTGATAATGTACACAATACATGTATATATGAGGAAGCTGTTGATCTTAAACATTATTTAAGATAAAAATAAAACATAAGCTTGTAATGTTATAGGATTATGAATAAGTTCTCGATGAAATCTCATTTTATTCTTTACATTATTGTGGTATTCATGCCTTGAGATAAGTATTGATTGATTTGAATATTTGTAGGTTCCAGAAAGAATTGCCATCTGCCATTAAAGACAGGAAAGATAAACACATCACAAAAGCTGAACTGTGTAAACTAATGAAGTGGAAGCTCAGTGTATGAAAATCTGTAGTTTATTATCTTACAAAATTGTTTGATTTTCATTTAATATTGTTCATGACTATGCCAACATGGTAAGATTTAACAGAAAATTAATTTGCATTTAAAAGCTAAAATACAAGTACATTATAAAAAAGTGTACTGTATTAACCCTTATTGTTAAAGAATATACATGTATGTAATGCATAGGAATGATTTTATAAATAGAGAGGTAAATTTCGCCCTCGACTCCAACAAATGGTGGAATCAAACCCTGAAGATGCAGTTGTTTCAGCAAGTAAAAAGGCTTTCAAGCATTTACCAAACTTAAAAAAGGCCATAGAAGAGCTCACAGTTTTAAAAGCAGTAGGACCAGCAACTGCTTCTGGTAAGTACATGTACATGTATATACATCTAAACATGCTTAAACTGTGCTTGCACTGTTCTGCAGTATTTGATTGATAACACTGCAAGACAACTGACAGTACTAATTCTTGGACAGATTGCACACATTATTTTCAAAACAAAAAGAAATTCTGCTAAAGAACACATAGGCAGAAAACCTTAGTAGTAAATTTCAACAGTTTTCATGATGCCATATTATCTATAAAAGTACTTCAATTAACTTTTACAAGTTTATGTCTCTGCAGCTGTCCTAGCAGCAGGTGCCCCAGAACAAGCAGCTTTTATGGCAGATGAGAGCATGCAGGCCTTACCAGGATTACAGCCTCTACAGTACACTCTAGGATTCTACTTACAGTATATGGATAAAATAAAACATCTGATGAAAATTCTTCAAAAAGGTAATTATCAGACTCAAAACTGCATCACTGTAGATTGCTACAGATAAGTTTATCTCTCTCTCTCTCATATTAAATACATTATTTCTGATGTAGGTGACAAAGACTGGACTGCCCAAAAGGTAGAACTGACTTTGTGGACATATGAGAACCTTAGGAAGGCAGACCCAGCCCTACTGACAGACATACTGGAGGACACACCCAAACGAAAACAGGAGGAAACTAATGGAGATGTCAAGTCAAATAAAAAAAAGAAAACTTATATATATTTATTTTATTTGTTGTAAAAGTGGTGAAATATTCAAGTCTTAGGGTCATAACTATTGGAACCATTTTATTGTCACTGCAAATGCAGCCATCTCACTAATAGACAATTGCTACACTGGTAGCAACAACCACATATAAAACGAGGTCCCGTGTCGCAGTGGGTGCTGGCACGAAAAAGATCCCTCACTGCTCATTACCCTGAGTGCAGAGTATAGATCAAAATTTGCAACCCTCTACCGGCAAGTAGTGGCGTCTCCATTTGAGTGAAAAATTCTCGAGAGGGGCATTAAACAACAAACAAACAAAAACTTCTTTCAGTCAACCACTGGATGCCTGCATTTGTGGCAACATTGGACAATTAGGCCATTCCAAGTTTTTTTGCTCTGTTTAGCGTCACCCGTCTTTCAAAAACCTACCTACCTATTCGCAAAAAACACACAAGCCAAAAAATAAAACACATACTTTACAGTAAGAAAAATGGCATCATTCAAAGGATTTGATTTCATGAATCTATTTTTCTCATAGAAATATTTTCTGTTTGGTAAAATCAAGGTATTAAATGTTTAAATATACATTATATGACATACTAGTGAGAAATATTTAAGGAACTTGACAAAGAAGATGGACGTGTTTGGTGTGTGATCTGCAGGTATAAGGCCTACGAAACATTTATAGTTTGTCTAGGATTTGGTCGGCTGACCACAGCTGGACATACTTTACAAAGTTATGCACATCGGAAAATGTTACATTTAGTTTGAAATACTTTGTCAAATTTAATATATCAGTCTGCTTATTTTAATAATTACTACATGTAAAACTTAGTAACGCTTCACATAAATACTAAACACCTATAGGCTAAATTGTTAAATGCAATCACAAGTATATGTATATATTAAAGTATCAATAGGTTGGAAGAATTGCTTTCGCATTCTGTGCAACAGAACCAGAATTTATCTATTTGAAAATAAATCAGTACATAAAATTAAACTGACAAAAGAATTGAGTCTTTGACTAGAAAAAATATTAACACTCCATGCGAGGATCGAACCAAAAATATTTCTCTTCATTGCACTGGACGGGTAACGCATACTACTGAGCTTTCACTGCTACATATACTTCATGGTTTTTAAAGCGACAATGAAGCACCGCATTTAACATTGGAATTTTTTTGGAAAAAGTTCATTTTTTATCGTCTCTGGGTCTTCTCTCCATATTTTACAAATGTTTGTTAGTTTCTTTGAATTATAACACACACAAATAACATTTCAAAATCATGGAGAGATGACCCAAAGATAGCAAATTTTTAGAAAAACGTGTTTTAAAATGACACATCTAGCCAATTTTCAAGTTCTTTTTTAGCAAATCAAAATACAATATCGGGAAAATATGTCCCTTTCCTATTTCACAGGAACCCGATACATCAAAAGAATGCTAAAATTTCATATGACAGATCAATGAAATTTTCACTTTTCAAGTTCCTGCCGAATGCCAATCAAAAGCGCCCTTGTTCTTTCCAAAATTTTAACCAAAATAATCAATTTTAGGACTCCTGATTTTGTTTTTTTCTGATATGGGGTGCCAAAAACCAAGGTGCACGTGGACACTAAATAATAGAAAAAACTTGGAATGGCCTTAACATGAACAATATTCTATTTCAGTTTTACAGAAAAATTGGATCTTCAACACTGATGTCATATTTTTTTATTTTTAAACAAATTTATTTCAACTTTTTACCAACTTATGCTGTTCTTAATTTTTTGTTTAAATCTGTATGGTTACAATTATATCTGTATGATTACAATTACATCTGCATGATTACAATTACCTCTGTACAATTACAATTTCATCTGTATGATTACAACTACATCTGTATGATTACAATTACATATGTACATGTACAATTACATGTACAATAACATCAGTGTGATTACAATTACATCTGTACAATTACAATTACATCTGTAAGATTACAATTATATATGTATGATTACAATTACATCTGTACAATTACAATAACATCTGTACAATTACAATTACATCTGTACGATTACAATTACATCTGTACGATTACAATTGCATCTGTATGATTACAGTTACACCTGTATGATTACAATTACATCCGTATGATTACAATTACATCTGTATGATTACAATCACCTGTATGATAACAAATTTACCTCTGTATGATTATACAGTTACATCAGTATGATTACAATTACATCTGTACAATTACAATTACCTCTGTATGATCACAATTACATCTTAAGATTACAATTACCTCTGTACGATTATAATTACATCTGAATATTTTGTAGGGGGATATTCAATTCATTTATTTGACAACACCATCATACATTGGCATATAGTCATGAACCCTTATCAAAATGAAATCCATTTAAATACCATTTAAAAGACATTTCTTTTCTGACCATTTTAAAACCATTCGGGAGCCATTTTATATCATCAACAGTTTCAAGAATTCTCAACAGAAAGGATTATCATTTAAAAACCATTTTTCATTTTATTTCCATTCAAACCTCATTTAACATCCATTCAAACTCCATTTTTTGGGGCCTTATAACATGCAAATTAACCATTCCAAGACCATTTATGCAAATGAGAAGAAAAATGAAAAATAAATGGTTTTTGTTTTAACCATTTAATATCCATTTTAAAAACATTTTTAAAATGATTGAAAAATGAAAAAAGCTGGGTTCTCAATATCCACAGAATAAGCACTTTGAAAATCCATCTTTTTGGTAGTATTAATCAGTCATGAAACAAAGGTCAAATGTTTTATTTTTTCAAAACTTTGCTTTGCATTCCTAGAAATTTGGATGGATTAATCTCCTAATTTGATTTGAATAATGGTAGTCTGCATCTTTGACAATTTACAGTTTCCATGTTCATTTTGGTGTTCCATATGCAAGCAGTATACGTATTCTAAAAATAAAAGAAAATGCATAATGAGAAAAGAACAGAAAACTGTTTTGTCACATTTTTTTCACTACTGCAGCTGATCATTACTCCTGTAGCATAAATCGAATAACTTTTACAAGGTTTGTCTTCATGAACAATATAAGTATACATGTTCAAGTATTGCCCTAGCTGCCTGTATATTCACTATTTCATCAGAAACAAATGAATTATAATAGGTTGAACAGATTGAAGAAGAAAATTTTAACCATTCAATACCTGAGAAAAGTGAGCAAGAAAATAGTTAATAATTGAAGTTTATAAGAATTTACAATAGTGTCCCTCGATCAGTCTAAGTTTTAACTAGATTGGCTTATAAATTAATTATTGCATCAATATGATCAGTGGACACTCCTAATGTACATGTTTTCTTTAGAAAAAAGCATTTTTCTGTTGTTGACATTAATAAAAATATGTACATATTTATACTTACTTCTTAAAAAGAATACCCTTTCAGTGATGTTGAATGTGTTGTTTTTCTTCTGCGCCACTCCCCGAATATAAGAAACATTAAAACTGTCAGATAATCATCCTCCAAGAAGTTAGTAATCTTATAATTCTGCTTTGATCATTAATGTACAGTTTTTTCAGCATCAAAAACACTAAAAACCCCAATCTTCCTTAAATTCAGCCATTTAAGCTCCATCACTACCAGCTAGGTTGAAGTGCTCTTGTCCAATGTTTAAAATAACTGAAAAAGGTGGTCACCACAGAGCTGGGGAGGAAATCTGATAGCCACTGGCCCATTATACAAACTTGGCACCTGGCATCAATTAACTGCTGACAAATCTTAAGGGTTAAGAATATGCCTAAAACTAACCATTTCTTCATTTTTTCCATTTCTCAGAAAATAAATGGAAGAAAAATGGCAAGCTCAAGCAAGTTAGATCACCAAACTGGCATTTCTTTTCCATTTACTCAAGTAAATGGAGAAAAAATGGTGTAGTTTACCATTTAAAAAGCATTTTCTAACAAAAATGGTTTTGAAATGGTTCTGAAAAAATGGTTTTGGAAAATTGAAAGATAGAGAAATGTAGGAAAAATGTTTTTAAAATGAAAAATGGCTAGAAAATGCTGAATGAATGGAGATAAAATGGAAAAATGCCATTTCTTTTTGCTATGGGAATGCAACAAACAATTTAACATACATAAATTTAAATTAATTAAAAAAAAATTATTCCAGTTAGTATATCAGTTATGTTGAAGTTTTTATTTTCTAATATCAAAGCACTTTTTCAGAAAGTTACATACTCTTCTAGCAATTTTAATACTTGAAGGGTTGATACCTGTACGAAATGATACGCCTGGAAAATAGGGGGAACAGAGGCGGAAAAATACAGAGATTCCGGGCGTCAAAATATTTCCACACATTTAAATAGAGTAAACCAATTCCAAGTGGAAACCAGGCGGAAGTCAGACGGAAGTTGGCAGGAATTTTTAGGCGAAAAATGCAAATGAGCTCCGCCCGGACAGATCTGATGGGCAAATTTCTCCGCCTGGAAAATCAAGGATTCCAGGCGGACCCTTCAAATTTTTCCGCCTGGAAAATCAAGGATTCCAGGCGGACCTTTCCTGCTCTTATTACACCCACATTCCGCCTGAATTTGACGCCTGGGTTCCGTCTGCTTCTTACATCTGACTTCCAGATGCTTTCTGCCCAAAGTCATCCTAAATATTTCACTGCATCCTTAGCTTCCAGTCCCACCTAATGATTTCTAAACAAAAAATCTCAAAAACAAGGATGAAATTGATAAAAAAAATATATTCTAAACTAAAATCATTAATATCATAATATCATAGATTTCCAACTCAATTTCCCTGATTTGACACAATTGTCTCAATTGTCACAGAAATCTTAATTCCAGTCAATGTTTTTGTCATGGAAATGTCACAATGTTGAAGCCTACTTTGATGGTGCGTTCTTCTTTACTTTAGGCTTAAGTTGCTTTCTTGCGTAGCTAATACGCTCCGTTATCGCATCATTTAAAAGACTTTCAGTTGGTTGTGCCATTCCATTTTTCCTGCACCACACTGTTACGTAATCTGAAACATGAACATGAAATTTTTAAATCCACCTGATATGATCACAGCCCCTTTTAATGAAGTTTAAAAATTCAAGTATGTCAAAAAGTTGGATGTTTTTACCCGCTGATAAAAGTTAAATATAAAATTGTTCTCACTCTTTAAACTGCTGACAAGTTCCTTGTCCAGAGGCTTACGGAAGTCACCTTCTTTTGTTTTGCTTAGGCCTTGTCCTCTGGAGTTAGCAAGAACTTCAAGAGAAAAAATCTCTGGAAGCAACTTGTAGCAAAGTGTGAATCCAGGTTTTTTGGCAGTTCTTGCTGCTGAAGTGGCAATTCTCAGTGAATCTGAATCTATTTCCAGGTCACATCCATCAAGCAGCTTGCACTGTGAATTTAAACAAGAGAACAATATATTAAAAACATGTACCTTAAATTAAAAAAAAAAGGGGGGAAGAGAAATTTTAGTTTCTTTCTTAATTCTCAGAAGTTAATCATATCAAGCAATATCATATATTTATATATACCTTTTGTATTCCTTCATTCTTTTTCTGTTTACGTGGCGATCTCCGCAATGGTGGTGGTGTATTGGTTGGTGTTGATTCTGATATTGGTGGTACACTGGTTTGCTGTGGAGGTGGAGATGGAGATGCAGGTGTAAGTGTATTTCCAAAGACTGTTTCTGTATGATAGATGTTTTGGTAAATGTGATGTGGTGTCGGTTCTCTTGGTCGGTGTGTAGTTGAATGTGGCAAGTCAAGGAACTGGTTAGTGCGCTGGTAGGGTGCATTCACATGTACATTGGACAAGGGCATATCAAAAGTTTCCCTGTATGGGGCTGTGAAGTCTACATCTACAGTTGATGACTGCTTTGTCTGACTGTCTAGATTTTCCCTGTATGGGGCTGTGAAGTCTACATCTACAATTGATGACTGCTTTGTCTGACTGTCTAGATTTTCCCGGTATGGGGCTGTGAAGTCTACATCTACAGTTGATGACTGCTTTTTCTGACTGTCTAGATTTTCCCGGTATGGGGCTGTGAAGTCTACATCTACAGTTGATGACTGCTTTGTCTGACTGTCTAGATTTTCCCGGTATGGGGCTGTGAAGTCTACATCTACAGTTGATGGCTGTTTTGTTTGACTGTCAAGAGTTTCCCGGTATGGTGCTGTAAAGTTTACAGTTGGTTGCCCTTTTGTCCGATTGTCTGTCATCCAATCTGCTTGCACAACAGTGTCCAAATCAGCAAAGGTGTTCTGTTCAAATGTTTTCAAAATGATTATTTACTTTCATATTAGTTCAATGTATTTACACTTGTAAAAATAAACTAAAGTAGCTTCTAGATAAGCTGTTGGATAGAAATCCTTTTTTGATAAGAGTGAATAAACAATATCAGCCTTTCTCGTTTTCAAACTGACCTGTGGTTTTTGTTGCCGTGCATAGGTTACAATCTTCTTTAAGTAAGACTGCACGTCTGGTCTCAAGAAATTTTCTATGGCCTGGATGACCTCCAAGGATGGAACTAAATTTAAATAAATTGAAGAAAAATATAATTTACAAAAAAAATTCATTCATTATTGTTAAATATATAATTATGTATAATTCAAACATGAAATTTTGATCTTATCACAGTGGCACTCGATCAGATTTTTTTCTCAACATTTACTCATTTCAGTGATATAAGAAAAGACAATATCTGAAAAGTTTAAGATATGTTCAATTCAGTTTTACCTGGTATTTCACAATATCTTTCGGGTGAAAATGGCACTTTCAGTGGTGTATGCTGTGTTGATGGTCCAACAGCATCCATGGCATCATTGCATATTTGCCATGTTTGCGATATTGAAATGGTTTCTGAGGACACTGCGTCTGTCTCTGAAACCATCCTGGTCTGGTCTGCTGAAACATTTTCAAACTGATTTAAAAGATGCATTCCTTTTTGTCTTTGCAGGGTTTTTAGTGACTGGGGTAGAGTGTCTGGATGCTTGAGTTTTGGGTTTTTGGTCTTTGGCTCAGTGTTTTCGGTCTTTTTATTTTTCTTCTTGGGACTTCCGGCATCTTCAGTAACATTCTTACTCTGCACATTTACTTTCTTTTTTTTCTTTTTTGGACTCATAGTGTCATCTTGCTCCTCTGATTCACGCAATCTTTGTGTCTTGCTTCTGCTTCGCTTCTCATTCTGCTCCTCGGTTTCATTCACTTCAAAGGAAAAGAGTTCCTCTGGTACTTCGGTGATGTTCTTTGCTCTCTTTAAAATTTTGGAGTAGGCCTGGGTTGCAAATTTATTCAAAGTCTCTTCATCTGTAAATAAATCAAAATTATTAAATAATGCATGTCAAATAACAAAAGTAATAAAAATCCTGCTTTCACATACAATATTTGGTAGTACTAGTATGTAATAATAATATTGTCTCTGTTTATCATGTTCATAAAACTTTGTTTTTCAGGACTTGTTAGTTAATATAGGTCCTAATAAAGTTTAAACAATTAGACTGGGTGTTAACAGGATTTCTTTCATAAATTACTAAATAATACATAGTCTATCGCCGGTGTAAATGTGACAGATTGATAGGTTAATGCTTACTCTTGGACTCCTAGACGCCTATTTTATCCCATGTTCAAGTTGTATATTGTTTGCTTAATTTATGAGATCTGTCGAAGTTTGCTTTACTTTTCTTCTAATTTTTTCCCCACTTTCAAACATTCCTTTCGTGTACTAAGTTCGAGATAATTCTAACTGATTTGACAAGCACATCATCACTCGGATCTCCTCGGATGGTTCGCGCATCGCACACTCAGCCGAGGATTGCCGATTGGTTCTTTACACAGAAGAGATCTACTTCCGGAAGATTTGACATTCATGATTATACGTAAATAAATAAAAGTACGGGAGCTGACTAATAACCTAATGCATAAATATTTAAGAATACATGTATATAAACCGCGTTGGTAAACTACATCCTATATTTATTCTCTTGTGATATATGCAGCACTTGAATAGGTTTTGGCATTCTCTCACCAGAGGGCGTACATTCACGAAGCTTTTGACGGAAATGGTCGAAGGGTTACGAGATCGATCACGTGACTTTGTGGAAGCGCGATGTAATATTTAAAACATGCGAAATAACGATTACAATAAAGTGAAATAAAATGAGTAAATTAACGATATTTTCAAATGTATATATACGCATATCATATATCATAACTTTCTGCTTTCAACACTGTTCAAGTTTTAAATTCCAAAAAAAAAAAGACTATACATTTATCAAAATTGATTAATTTTGCATTATCACTTAAAGATTTCACATAACTACTAGCTAAACCAGTCGACTAGGCTTAGTTTTATTAAATCATCACAAGAAGAAAACTAATCAGGCTTACCGCCGACTTTGATGATGGTGCCGTGGAACAAAGACTTCTGTCCAGCATTTTTTCCAGGCCAGAGCATCTCCACTTTTCCTTTTGGTTCCCACTCACCATTTAATACTTTTAAGCTTTTGTTGTTTTTTCCAACAACACTGAGACTTGCGTCTTCGATGAAGAAAATACAAGCATACATTTCAAAGCTGAACTGTGATACTCAGAGCAAAGTGATGGATCCGCGGAACAATTACAAGTGAATGATAACGAAAGACTCGGGCGCCAACTGCCTGAACTGGTCAGAGAAGCACAGTATCAAGTAACAAGCGATAACCCGCTGTGCGACAGAGGCGACTAAGGTTCTGCTACTTTATTACCAACTGATTACAGTGATAAATATTCTGATTATTTTTCAGTAATCCGCAGTGTTAATGAGAATTAAATTTGTGTACGAAACTTTAAATAAAAAAAGAAATTGTGCTTTCTTGCACCAAAATATCCAAACAAGAAAGAAATGCGATTTTTAAAATAAATACTGATAAACAGAATTAAATCCCCAGTTTTCGCCCCAAATTGATGATGAACAGATGAAAGTCAAGTTGACCTGCAACTCCGGTTTTTATTTCTACAAATTCAATCCGAGTTGCGACTGAAAAAAATAGATATGGAAGACGCAAAAAAGAAAAGGCGAAGGGGACCGTACAAGCGAGACGAGAATGACGCAAGAAAAAAAGAATTGATACGGCTAGATACAAAATTGAGTGAAGAGAGCAATCTGAAATTTGATATATCTGGCGAAAGGAACTTCACAGACTACTTGCATTTCATGGATCCTAGATTTCAAACGAATTCTTCACCAAAAACAGACGATTCTTTGACTTACCTGGATGAAATTTCGGTACGTATACACACACACACACACACACACACCAAAAAAAAAAAAAAAAAAAAAAAATCCACATCCGGAATGCATTCATATGTTAAATGGAATCCGGCTTTAAGAGTTCTTAATTTATTTCCGGTTTTATTTCCTCTCGGAAAAAAAACAAAACAAATCTTTGTCTTTGAGGCATGGAATGGGATAACAAAGATAAATTCAATGAAAACATTTGATTGTTTAAACAGTTTCTACACCTTTAGAGTATTTTACGTAGTTTAAATACGGACACCTGAGGTTAGTATACATATAGACATAGATTGCATACATACACGTGTTAGAAAATTAACAAGCAAAAAGGAATGTTCCTGAAAAACTTCGTCATGCACAAGAAAAAAAAAGCAGACACTGGAAGAAAATTAATTGTTGGGGGGGGGGTCCATTAAATACAATAATAATGTGCAGCAATAAAAAAATTTTAATCAGGAAAGTGTGTGTGTTGAAGGGGAAGGAGGGGGGGGGTTCCTGCTGGGAATTTAGTAGGTGATACTGTGTGATATTGTGTATGTTAGGTAAAGTTAATTGCATGAAAAGTTTTCAGAATTTTGAGGATTTAGAGTTTGTTGAATTAAAAAAAACCTCATTTTTATTCTGATGAAATATTAAGAATTAATACATTTTCAATGATTTATTTAGAAGTTCCCTGAACATTCCGAGGGTGCATTGGGTGATCAAAGGGATTTTGAACCTGCAAAAGGACAAGTACTAAAGGAAGACAACACAGCAAACAAATACCATGGTTCTTTAAGTATTGACCAAGATGATGTTCAGTTGGAGGAAATGTATATGTATGAACTATCAGATGAAAATAATTGGGAGGAATATGAAGACTGTGTAGAGTTACTGAATGACTCTGATACAGAGCTTGATTTTGACAAAAACAACTTCACGGGCGAAAATGCAGAGAACATCTTAAATGAAGATGACCAGCTTCTTTACCCTGGTGCTTCAGTGTCCATTGGAAGCTTCATGCTTTTGTTCACATCTTTCATCATGAAACACAGCATTAGCAGTGATGGGATTTTACAGTTGTTAAACATATTTTCATATGTCTTACCAAGCAGCCATATACTGTGCACAAGTCTATATGACTACAAGAAATTTTTTTGCAATTTGAAAAATCCATTGGTAAAGCATTTCTACTGTGTCCATTGCCTAGGATATTTAAAATCCAATACAGAGACAACATGTCCATATAATGGGTGTAGAAAACTCCTCAATGAAAATGACATCATGTACTTTTTGGAGATGCCAGTTGAAAATCAGGTGAGAAATTTTTTTTCACAAGAAGGATTCTTTGAAAAACTTCAAGTGAGATTTCAAGGACAAAACAGGGATGGAAAATATAGAGATGTGTATGATGGACAACTGTACAAATCCTATTGTGAAAATGATGGGCCGCTGTCACAACCAGAAAACATATCTTTTACATTCAACACAGATGGTGCCCCTGTATTCAAGAGCAGTAAAGTTTCAGTTTGGCCATTATTCATGGTAATAAATGAGTTACCTTACAAACTACGCATGTTGAAAGAGAACATGATAATGGCAGGACTTTGGTTTGGCCCACACAAACCAGCCATGGGAACTTACCTATCTCCATTCTTGGATTCTTTTAAAAGATTGCATGACGGGATAAATTGCTTTTCTCCTTCTCTAGGAAACTTTATAAGTAAAGGCTACCTACTTTGTGGCACAGCAGACCTTCCAGCTCGTTGTCTTGTATGCAATGGTGTTCAGTTTAATGGAGCATATTCCTGTTGGAAATGCATGCAAAAAGGCGAAACAGCAAAACGTGGAAAAGGACACACACATGTTTTTCCATATTTGTCTGCACATCCCAAAGGTCCAGAAAGAACAGTAAATGCTGTTTGTCGCGATGCACAAGAAGCCCTAGATAATCTGGAGAGAGGAACTTCCCGACCTAGTGTCAATGGTGTAAAAGGGCCATCATGGCTGACTTTTTTCCCCAAGTTTGACATTGTAAATGGAATTGCTATTGACTATATGCATGGGGTGTTGCTCGGTGTTCAAAAATTGATGTTACGTCTCTGGTTTGCAGCAGAGTTTAGTACTAAAAATTTCAGTTTTCATAAACATGTCAAAGATGTTGACAATAGATTAAGAAATTTAAAGCCATCATTAGACATTAGTAGGTTACCTCGATCTATTGAAAATGACTTGAAGTACTGGAAAGCTTCAGAATACCGTTCATTTTTGTTGTACTTTGGTGCACCTGTTTTGTATGGTATTTTAGATTCAGTTAGGTTTCAGCACTTTTTGCATCTTGTCAATGCCATGCACATTCTTTTAAAAGAAGGTAGCTCACATGATCAAATTTCAGATGCAGAATCAATGTTATTCAATTTTTGTGCTGACTTTGAAGTTTTGTATGACAAATGTTTCATGACACTTAATATTCATCAGCTCTTACACTTAGCAGATAATGTTCGTTTTCTAGGGCCATTGTTTACTCATAGTTGCTTTTCATTTGAGGATAAAAATGGCTGTCTGTTGAAAATGATCCAAGGCACACAGCACATTGATAGTCAGATTGTTACTGGTGTCTCTTTTTTGCAGAAATTGCCTGAATTGAAACAAAAGTATGTGAAAAACACAGTTGAAGGGTCAAAATTAGAAAAACTATTCAACTCTATTGAGTCACCAAGTGTATTGATTAGATGTGAAATGATAGAAAAGGGGGTGTATGTTTTAGGTGGGGTAAAATCTCGAGATTTGACTAGAGATGAATACAGAAAGCTCTGTGATTATCTGGGCCATGCACCAATTATTGACAAATTTAGTACATTCAAAAGAATTGATTTTTTCAATCACATCATATATGGTTTGGAGTATGCAAGAATGATGAAGCGTGACAATTCCACAGTAATGTATTTTTGTGGAGATGCAATGTACTTTGGTCGAGTAAGATTTTTTCTACTCATTAATGACAAGAGCACAGTCATAGCTCTGATAGAAACACTTAACTGCTTGAATTTTTCTGAGCATTGTAATATATTGAGAGTACAGAAAACTGGTCAAACAAAGTTTATTGCAATGAAAAATGTTAAAGAAGGATGTATGTTTTTGGAAGTCCAGAGTAATATTGAAAATATTTGTTATGTGTGTCGTTACCCTAATAGAATAGAATCTGATTGATTTTGTTGGGGATTATAATTATCTGCATTGAAATGTCAATAAAGTGGACATAAGCAAATTTTTGGTGTACATTTTCTATTTAAAAAATTTATAATGCCAAATAAATATATTATTTATTTTTATAATTTATTTCTGACTGGTAAAATTTTATAATAAGTCAGAAATCCTGGCAATGAATGAGAGTTCAAATTTTCCAACTGCCTAATTGTACTGAATTCTTTCTAAGTCTGAAAATTCCCACTCAAAGATGGTAGGTCCAGGCGGAGAATAAGAGGCGTAATTTTGAGTCTAATTTTCCTCCTTAAATCCGCCCAGAATTTGTCATTACCTAGGCGTAATTTTAGAGACGGAAAAAGCCAGTTTTCCGTCTCCTGCTCCTTTTCGCCCCTTTCCAAGCGGATTCCGCCTCTGTTCCATCTACTTTCCAGGCGAATTCCGCCTAAATTGTTCATACAGGATAATGTCAATAATTGGGTTTTCCTTCATGTACAAACATTGAGCATTAAATAATAAAGAAAATTATCTATTTTTTTTAAATATATGTATATGTACAAGGAGAGCATGATAGTTTGCATAGATGAAGCTGTTTGTGTATTAATCACGATTTGCTCCCACTGTATTTACTTTTACATCATTACCTGGAGCATCTGATATTAGGAATCGGGATCGGTATTCACTACTTACAAATAAAGCCGGTTCCGCCATATTGGTTGTGGCACGTTGATTTTTAGAAAGGCATGGCACACTTCAACCCCCCTCAAATACAGGACAATCCCAATGGATGGGGTCCTTGTGCAATTCCAGATCAATTTAAAGATCTTCCGTATCAACCTTTTTCTAAAGGAGATCGTCTAGGAAAGGTGAATTATTGAAACTAGTCTGAAAGTCCATATGGTACTGCTGTGTTTCTGTGTCACATTACAGTCATTTAGGGTATTCCGAATCACCTTCTACGTTTTGAATGAAAACGATTTTATTTAACGATTTTAAGAAGTTTAATATGTTGACGGTGCGACCGGTGGGGCGAGCGCAGTTGTTCACTTAATTTTACTGTTATAATTGTAACTTAGGAAAGGAGAAATGCATGAAGAAAACATATGGCTGGACCGGGGATAGAACCCGGGACCCCTGTATTACTAGTCAGGTGCTCTAACCACTGAGCTATGCAGGCCGATATCCACGGTCCGTAAAGCCCGAACTTCTACATTCCTCCCTCCTTAAACAGTCTTCGACCTTGAAGACACAAGTTCTAGGGCCCTGCCAGGAATTACTAATTTACATATAACATAACCTGAATGTGGCCTTCCACACTAGCCACCAAATGTAGTAGGAAAGGAGAAATGCAGGAAGAAAACGTATGGCTGGGCCAGGAATCGAACCCGGGACCCCTGCATTACTAAAGTAGTCAGGTGCTCTAACCACTGAGCTATCCAGGCCGTTGTCCACGGCTCCTAAAGCCCGAACTTCTACATTTCTCCCACATTAAACAGTCTTCGACCTCGAAGAGTTAGACACAAGTTCTAGGACCCTGTCAGGAATTACTAATTTACCCATACATTGTAACCTGAATAAGCCCCCCCCCCCCCCCCCCCCATTGGCCACCAGATGTAGTAGGAAAGGAGAAATGCATGAAGAAAACATATGGCTGGACTGGGAATCAAACCCGGGACCTCTGTATTACTAGTCAGGTGCTCTAACCACTGAGCTATCCAGGCCGATGTCCACAGTCAGCAAAGCCCGAACTTCTACATAACAATCACACAGTATTTATTGTGTTTGCAAGGAAAGGATCTATTCAGTTGAAAGAACTTGTATCCGATCCTTTGGATACATTATACTATAAAATGTGTTCATATCAAATCGATCAAATCTGCATCTTTTAAAGTGGCTTTATAGTCATCATTTAAAATATAGAAAGATATAAAACCTAGAGATTCATGCAACAATGCTGTTATTACTTAAAGAAAAAAATTGAGACTGGAAGATAAAGATATGGATATTTCAAGAAATGACATGAAAAAAATACTTTCAAATTTGGTATTAATGTATGAATCTGGGGGGAAAAAGTTATATACACAGGATCATATAGACTCTTATCATACATATCACATAGATTTCTTATACAGTATTTACATGAATTATATTCTTAGCTAGAAAAAAAATGCATATGCACCCCCCTATCATTATTATATATTTACACACACATATTGTATATATACTTTTTTCTCTAAGTGCCATTTTCACTAAGTGCTGTTTTCACCAGATGCCATTTTCACTAGGTACTGTTTGAACTGTAATTCACGCCTTCATGCATATATCAGCTGTGTATTAATTGTGTTAATTAGTTTTATGTTATTAATGTTCATGACTGTATGCTGACATGGTAATTGTCAATTGAATTGATATTTAGAGAAATATGAATCAATAACGTGCTACAACATTGCAAAGAAACATGTTGGATGACTGTTAATGCAGTAACGGTTAGTCAGTTAATACCAGTGAACTTTGCTTAATGATTTTGTAGGTGTCTGATTGGACTGGAGCTACATACCAAGACAAGAGACATCTAGGCAAGTAAATATAATCAAAGCATTCAACAGACAAAGTAAGAAATGTTCTTTATAGGTGTTTCTATTGCTGAAACCTCAATGAAAATTGCTTTTTTGATCAATAGGGAAATACTCCTCTGCATTTGGTGGTGGTGCCAGCCAGTATGCTTATTATCATGACGAAGATGAGAACAGCTTCCAATTGGTGGACACCTCAAAGATCCAGAAGCCCCAGTACCAGAGAGGCCGCAGAGTGTTCCAACAGGTGAGGACTCCTATAGATATTTACCTGTTTATCTGTGACACCCATTGAAGATTGATTTGTTATATATTTACTTGTTTATCTGTGACACCCATTGAAAATTGATTTGTTTTAAGAATTTTGTGTCTCTTAGATACAATACTGTAAAAGAATAAGAGGGAGGTCTAGAGAGACAAGAATTTTTTTTTGCATTGAGAGAATTAATGTTCTTGACACAACAGCATATTTTCTGATAAATACTAGTAATTACTTCAATTTTGATTTATTTTATAAATTTTATTTGAACTGAAGAACAAACAGAGAAGAGAACGAGAGAGGAGACAACAGCAAAACCAGGCCAACATGCAGGTGCTCTCCAAGACACAGAAAAGTAGAGAGAGGTAAAGAGAAAGTGGTAATCAGACATAATAGAGTGGAGAGAGGTAAAATGAAAGTGGTAATCAGACATAGGAGAATGGAGAGAGGTAAAATGCAAGTGGTAATCAGACATAGGAGAGTGGAGAAAGGTAAAATGAAAGTGGTAATCAGATATAGGAGAGTGGAGAGAGGTAAAATGGAAGGGGTAATCAGACATAGTAGAGTGGAGAGAGGTAAAATGGAAGGGGTAATCAGACATAGTAGAGTGGAGAGAGGTAAAATGAATGTGGTAATCAGACATAGGAGAGTGGAGAGAGGTAAAATGCAAGTGGTAATCAGACATAGGAGAGTGGAGAAAGGTAAAATGAAAGTGGTAATCAGACATAGGAGAGTGGAGAGAGGTAAAATGGAAGGGGTAATCAGACATAGGAGAGTGGAGAAAGGTAAAATGAAAGTGGTAATCAGACATAGGAGAGTGGAGAGAGGTAAAATGGAAGGGGTAATCAGACATAGTAGAGTGGAGAAAGGTAAAATGGAAGGGGTAATCAGACATAGGAGAGTGGAGAGAGGTAAAATTGAAGGGGGTAATCAGACAGAGAGTGGAGGGAGGTAAAATACAAGAGGTAATCAGACATAGGAGAGTGGAGAGAGGCAAAATGGAAGGGGTAATCAGACATAGGAGAGTGGAGAGAGGTAAAATTGAAGGGGGTAATCAGACATAGGAGAGTGGAGAGAGGTAAAATGAAAGGGGTAATCAGACAAAGGAGAGTGGAGGGAGGTAAAATGCAAGAGGTAGTCAGACATAGGAGAGTGGAGAGAGGTAAAATGGAAGGGGTAATCAGACATAGTAGAGTGGAGAGAGGTAAAATGCAAGAGGTAATCAGACATAGGAGAGTGGAGAGAGGCAAAATGCAAGAGGTAATCAGACATAGGAGAGTGGAGAGAGGTAAAATGGAAGGGGTAATCAGGCAAGGGAGAGAGGTAAAATGCTAGTGGTAATCAGAGAGAGAGGAGAAGAGAGAGGTAAAGTGAATGTGGTAATCAGAAAAGTGGAGAATTTCCATCTTACACATATCTTACACATGAAGAGGCTGTTTGGTTATCACTGACCTTCACAGTAAGAGACAGGAATGATGTTTTCTTATTTCAGAGATAGGCAGAGGCAGCTGAGGAAGTGGCAAAAACAATTTGGAAAACAAATGCAGGAAAACAGAAACAAGGTAATTTTTGGTCGGTTTAAGAGCTTTTAAACTTCTGTTCATGTTGTTTGTAAACAGTCCAACTCTTAAGTTAAGTTTACTCTCTTACTTGTGTTCAGCAATAATGGTGTTGATTGAAGCAAAAGTCTTTTTTCTAACATTGAGCATACATTTTGAATAATCATATGTGTACATTGTAGTTGATCAAGAAGAATAATGTATGCATTTCTTCAGCAAATTTCTCCATGAATTCCACTTTCAGTAGAATCTTGTGGGTTGTTTGTAGGCTCCGTTAAAACACAGAGATGCCTCAGTTCAGGTCAAGGACAACTGGGAAGTGGTTGAGGAGATGGATTTCCCACGACTGACCAAGCTCAGTCTGCCGACCGTAGATGATGCCGTAGATCTGTAAGTCAAAGATTGGCAGTAAATCAAGCTTAAAATGACCTAGATTTTATACGAAATGTAAGTCTCTGAAGTATTTGAAAACGTATTTTTAAAACATGATGCAAAAACAGGTTGAAGTGTGGCAGTATGGAGTATTATGACAAGCAGTATGATAGAGTGTCAACAAAGAATGAGAAACGAATGAAGAGGATTGACAGAGTGTTCCACAAAGTGACCACCACTGATGACCCCATCATCAGACAGGTTCAGTGAAATCCATATTGTGTTGTGCATCATCATATGATTAACAAACATGTAAACGGAAACTTAATGAATAAAAATGACTGTTATGGGAAAAGTTTTTATAAAAAAATCATAAATCAGGAACTACTTTATAAATAAATAATCTGTTTATAAACACTAATTTTTATGAGTAATCATTTCAACAGCTTGCTAAATCCAGTGGCAATGTGTTTGCCACAGATGCGATCCTTGCTACCCTGATGTGCTGCACAAGATCTGTGTACTCCTGGGATATCATTGTACAGAGGGTAGGGAACAAGCTGTTCTTTGACAAGAGAGATGATTCTGAGTTTGACCTGCTGTCCGTGAGTGAGACGGCCACCGAACCACCGCAAGATGAAGGGAACAGCATTAATTCCCCTCGTAACCTTGCCCTGGAAGCTACCTTCATCAATCACAACTTTTCTCAGCAAGTTCTCCGAATGGTGTGTTTCTGTTTACATGCTAAATGCATTTAGTCGAAAAATATTGCAAAATTATTCAAAGATTTTTAATTAGAACTGAAATATAAACATGGAATACTGTAGATTCCTTATTTTACGCGAGTACTTAATATCGTGAAATGGGCCTTAGACGACAAATCGTGAGAAGTGTAATTTGCGAGTGGATGCTTGATTAAGATATTTTATATGGATTTCAGTACCACAAAAATTGAAGCGAGTAATTTTATTTCGCGAGTGGTTCTTTTCGCGTAATTACGCGATAATTAATTCCTAGCATATATTTAGGAATCTACAGTAAAACGAGGTGAAAGTAATAGCACTTAAAAATTTCAAATGTTTTCATTCATTCAGGGAGATGAAAAGTACAGCTTTGAGAAAACCAATCCTTTTGTTCAGAAAGACGAAGCATCCAATATAGCATCTGTAGGATATAGGTAAATTTTTAATCTACATATACTATTCTGCATAAGGCCAAAAATAAAATTAGCTTTGTTTGGCGTTGCCGGCCGACTCACATAAATCGGTGCGGTCCGAAGAATTTTTTCAACAGATACTGATCATAATTTTTATTTCGTTATATTCATCCGGATTTAGGTGTTTGTACGTTTGTGTAATATAAACAGAATGGGAAAGAATCATGTAAACGCTTGATTGATCAAACAGTTTTCATTTATAAGCGTCTATGTGATGTTGAATTAATGCGTATCACGAATCCAAGCATGGCTGTCGAAAGCGGTAAAATGTAAACTCGGTATAACAGAAGTTGATGGCATGACCCTCTGTGGTAATGTGGTTTTAAAAGTAAACTGATGAATAAGATATACCACTTCGAAATAGAAATTTCATGGTACAATGTCCTGTCCAATTTGCTAGTCTAGCTGCCATGCTTGGATTCGTGCACATGATTCGAATTTACAAAAATTTAATGTCAGTGATTTTTAATACTACATATATTAAAGGTTTAAATCTAATAGGGTTTGAAAATCAATGACAAATCTGAGAATCAATTCAGACTGTGGTTGTTGTTAAACTATCGGAAACCCACGGCGTTCGGATACTAACAACATGTACCATTTCTGAAATTTAAATAAAAAAAATATTTTCCCTACCTACCGACCCAAACGTATAAAGACTAAGTCGGCAACGCCAAACCAACAATATTTTAATTGTGGCCTAATACATATTATACCCCCCACGGGGGAGGGGGGTGTATAGTGATGAGGGTGTCCAACTGTCCGTTAGGCTTTGGGTTACACATCTCTTATCCGCAACTCCTCTTATATCACTGAATAAAATTTAATGATACTTTCACAGAATCTTTATTTTATAGTGCCAATGTGACCTCCTATTTTACTTTTTGATCGGACATATATTTTGGGTTTCCAATAGCGAAACATAGACACTGCCAGTTTTCCTACAAACTTGAGGGGTACCCATCTCTTATCTGCAACTCCTCGTATATCCACGAACAAAATTTAATGATACTTTCACAGAATATTTATTACATAGTGCCATTGTGCACCTCTTATTTTACTTTCTGATTGGACACTTATTTTGGGTCTCCCAGAGCAAAACATGGACTTTACCATTATAAAGATATGGGAGGCTAGGGGTATCATTTTGTGAGCTCAGTGCTCACAGCACCTAGTTTTACTATAGATTTGATGAATTCATAGTGTTATTGTGGGTATTTTATTTATTATACAGGTATCGTAAATTTCAACTAGGAAATGACATTGAGTTAATATGTCGCTGTGAACATGATGCAGTATTGATGGGTCCCAATGGAGAACTCCAGTTCATTAACATCAAAACGCTTAATGAGTGGGACTCAAGAGTAATGATGTTTTCTTTATTCCTAAAAATAAGACATATTAATTGAATTATGTGTCTATCAAATATAATTTTTGTGTAAAAAGTAAAACTGCACTTTGGTGAGATCCAAAAGAAAGGAAAAAAAATGATGTTTAGAAAAATTACAGATATGTATGAATTAATGTCTTTTGCAATTTCTATTATTACATGCTTTGAATTGTAGTATAGTGGAGGTGTGGACTGGAGAAGTCGCCTTGACAACCAGAGAGGGGCTGTGTTGGCTACGGAGCTGAAAAACAACAGCTGTAAGCTCGCCAAGTGGACAGTCTGCTCACTACTGGCTGGATCAGATCAGATTAAATTTGGGTCAGTTCTTAAAATTATTGCAAGATTTTAAATTGATATTGATCTCAAATGTGCAGAGACAATTACCATGTAATAAATAAAAAATGCATGAAAAAATGGTGAATGATTAGAAATGTTTTGTAGCTATGTTTCGAGAGTACATCACAGAGACACCAGTAAACATGTGATTCTGGGAACTCAGCAGTTTAAGCCTACAGAGTTTGCAAATCAGATAAATCTTAACATGGAGAATGCCTGGGGAGTACTGAGGTGTATTATAGATACCTGTATGAAACTGAAAGAAGGAAAATATCTCATCATGAAGGACCCTAACAAGGTCTGAATCTCACTTGTTCTATTGTTGTATACTTAAGTGTGAATTTCCAAATGAAAACTTTGACCATGGCAATATACCGTCATAAACAATACTTATGTCAAGAAACATCTTCAGTTCTTCCCTTGTTTTGCATGAGAATTAGGAAACATTAATGCATTTGTATTATTAAAAAACATTAATACGTGTATTTCTACTGAGAATTAACAAACATTAATACGTGTATTTCTACTGAAAATTAACAAACATTACGGTAATACATGTATTCTTTCTGAGAATTAGTAAACATCAATATGTGTATATTGTATTTTTACTGAGAATTAACAAACATTAACATGTGTATTTCTACACCTTTCAGCCTGTGATGAGAATCTATGACATACCTGATGACACCTTTGAGTCTGATGAAGAAGAAGATGATGATGAGGATGATGAAGACGATGATGATGATGAGAGTACTGATGATGATGATGGTATGTAATTATATCAATGAATTCATCTATTACTGCTCAAAATTACTATCGGGTAATTCATACAAAACCCTAAAATTTAGTAAAAATAAATAAGCATTCCTTGCTTATTTTAAAATATGTTGAATAAGTTGGTCCTGAGCTTTAATTTGTTATTTTAAAGTCTATGTTCTGTTATAATTGTGATTAATTTACATCAGTGTTGTATGTACCTTTGAGTTAAGAGTTTGGACTTCAGAGATGTGTTAAACTCTATAATCTCTTTCTCTCTTAGATGACAAGAAGTGAAGACCAGCATATAACTTAATTTTATATCCCTTGGAATATGGAGTGGAAGGTGACATAAAAGGACAATAGCTGCATCAAATCTATTTATTTTCTCTTAGTGCTGATATTTTGTTGAAGAAAAGTATTAGAGTGTATTTTTTAAACCTGGTATGTACTAAAAGATCAAGTGACTTTGGTATTCAACATCTCAAAATTAACAGCCTTGGAAACTGATGTTCAGCACCATTAATTACAACAACCATGTACACATATAAAATTAAATATCAATAAAATGATTAATACACACTGTAACAGTCTGAATTTTGTTTTGTTTTATTTGAGGACAGAAAAATGATCTATTTTGATAGTTTGCATAGATGAAGCTGTTTTAATCACGATATGCTCCCATTATATAACCCCAAACTTTTTTGCTTTTTCATTCAATTACCTGGAGCATATCTGAAATGCAAAACATAATAAAAATATTTCTCATGCAAACATTAACTTGGATACCATTTGGCAGTCAGCCAGGTTTGATCGCCAGTGGCCAGATGGCTCGATAGAGCACCTGACTAGTGATTCAGTAGTCTGGGTTGTAACCCTGGTCTGGTCCATCTCATTTTCTCTTTGTCTGGTCCACTATACTTTTTCTCCTTTCCTGTTACATTTGGTGCTGTGCAATTCCATGGAAGTGACAAGTGAAAGACTTGCAATTGAGGAGCCTGGATTGGTTTCTTCACAGGCAAAGATCTTTAAGGAGGAACGTGGCAGTCAGAAGGATTCAATCGCCAGTGGCTCAGTTGGTAGAGCATCTAGCTAGTAATTCAGAGGGCTTGGGTTCAAATTCTGGTCAGGTCTGTCTCATTTTTCAGCTTGCTGGTTTCATTAATGCTGTCCCTTGCCCAGGAAGTGATGTGAAAGACCTTCCAGGGAAGTATCTGGGTCTATATCTCTTGGGCCAAAGACCTTTAAGGAGGGAGGAATGTGGTGGTCAGAAGGGTTCAATCACCAGTGGCCAGGTAGCTCAGTTGGTAGAGCACCTGACTAGTGATTCAGGGTGCCCGGGTTTGAGTCCTGCTATTATCCGTCACATTTTTCTCCTCACTGGTTTATGTACAGTGAAATATGCATTATCACATAAGAAGCATAAGCTTATATACATGTACATTCCAATCTGATTGCTTTATCACTGTCTTATCATAAATAAATGAATATATTTGAGGTTGGTTTTACTATTTTGGAGGGAGATGGTAGAGTACATTCAATCTCCTCACCTCACCTATCCTCTTCATCCCCATGTTGTCATTGTGTGAATTCAAGTTTGAGGAAGTCATGAGTTGACCCCTTGAAGTTAATTAAGCTGGAGCCATCATCGTCATCATTTATTTGGTATCATGTCATCATATATAAAACAAATACACAGTTATACATAATCTTTTGAAAGATAATATTTGGGAAACAAAAAAAATATAGTTTATGGAATGTAAAGGAGATAAATTTAGTATATATTTTACCATTTTGTTTTGACATTTTGTAATTTCTTTTTCAAACACTTTGTCAAACGTGCATACCAAGCACAGCAGGCATAATTTAAATGACATTGTACAAGAGCAGAACATAGAAATTAACATTTTACTTCTAATAATCCAAAAAAACAAGCTTGTATGTATAAAAAAACACAGCCTGTTGTTAACTTTTTGTACAATGGACTCAATAATAAATTGATCAATAAAAACTCTAGATATCCATAGAATGTATTGTATTAGTTTGTTGTCCATTACACTCAGTGTGAAAGTCTTCAACACTTGTAAGCTTCTTTCTTGATCCACATAAAATACATTCAGTTTTTCCCAGGTGTAGAGATAACTTATCTACTAGCCAATTTGAACATTGTTTTAAAACAGTAAATTAATTATTCATATTTTATATGAATCATGACCCTCTGGGATTGGATGAGACATTCATGTTTTATATACATGAATATTTAATCCACGTATACAATGTATTGGGAATATGAAAGAGAGAAGGCACTTAATTATTGAAGAACAGCATGGTTAAAATATACTCAGGTGAACATTGTGGCCCATGGACCTCTTGCTTTCCTAGATTCCCGACCCCACCCCATCCCCCTTTGGAAATAGTCTGTGGTGCATTTATAGTTATATACATAAATGTTTAATGTACTTTTCATATTATAATTATGATAATCATAAATGAAAACCATTAATTATTATAGGCGGCAGATAGTCGAATAATTCAAGGAACGATTTAATTGCCGTGAATTCCGTCGCCATTTTCCGAGAAAGATGACGCCACGATAAAAAGAACAGAGTATTTGTGTAATTCCTTATAAATCCAGAGTGAAACAGGTAAATCAACTACCCCTACAATAATGAAATTTCATTTATTAACGCCTGCTTTGTTTGTTTTTTTCTACATATTAAGTGCTTCTTAGTTAATGGACTCGTGCCACAAATTAATGACTTCACATGCCATGGGGTTACAGAAAAAAAAACAATTTTTGAAGATAAAAATCATATATATGTAGCCAGTTGAAATTGCATCATGTTATCATGTTGATTTATTCATATTTTATATAGAATACAAGACTTAAATTATTTATTTCAAAATCTTATCATCGCTAGCTATTAGGGTTCCGATTCGATCCACTCCACTCATCAAAAGGATTCGTGAGAATTTGGGCGGATCAGAAACCCTTGGCTAGCGAAGATGAATCTTAATGAATAATGAAAAATCAATTAATGAGTTATTGTGCATGACTTACTGAGTTATTGCCAATATAAAATTGAATTATGTCATTTTTAAAAATAAAACATGCCAATGGCTCTGTGTAAAGCTTCAAGTGGCATGCGAGAATGATAATGAAAAGAAAGGGGGTTAGTAATTTTGTTGTATATAGCCCAAATTTTTGTAGGTCTTCCCTAGGTCTTCAATTACCTGTAGGTCTTCAATTAGGTAGGCCGGTTAGTATGTCCGTAATTTGTAATCCCAACCAGACTCCCCCCCCCCCCCCCCCCCCCCCCGCTAGATATGGTAAGAATCTGAGAGAACCAGTAATGAACTTCCATAAATGAGAGAGGCTCAGACACTAGCACAGGCAAATAGGTAAAATATACAGCAAGTATTGCAGCCTCACAGTTCTGTTTCTTATTTTTGCATTTAGGCCTTGTTCCTAGCAATTACAGCAGTATATATAGTTTTTAATAGCTTATTTGACAATGGAGTGAGGATTACATTTACACTGTCTATTTTTCACTATTTGATAGAACCTTGGTCAGAGTCCTAGTTCAACTGAAAAAAAATTCCAATTATGGTATATAATATAATATTTTGAAATTATTACAGTTTTCTGGTTTCTGTTTTTTTGGCAGCTGGGAGTAAATATGAATCAGTATCCAGCTGGACTAGTTCCCATGATGGTTCCTCAGCCATACATGATGGCTGTGCGATTACCACAAGGAGTGCAGCCCCAACGAGCCCAGACTGCTCTTGGACAGACAGCATTAAGCCAAGCTGCATTAGGAACAGCAGCATTAGGCCAGGCTGGTATCATGAGTCAAGCAGCTTTAGGACAGACAGCCTTAAACCAAACAGCTCTGAGTCAAAGTGCTATGGGACAAACAGCAGTCAGTCCAGCTCTCATGGCACAGGCTGCAATGGGACAAACAGCCCTGGGTCAGACAGCCTTAGGACAGACAGCATTAGGACAAAATGCACTTGGCCATATTCCTCTAAGTCAAGCAGCATTGGGTCAGGCAGCTCTGGGGCAAAGTATGTATGGACAAACAGCTTTAGGTGGGGCAACAGCTCTAGGCCATTCAGCATTCCTTCCTGGTTTACCCATAGCAGCAGCTGCAGCTCAGAGGTTTGCCGCTGCTCCGTCTCCTGGTGGTTTGCAGGCATTGTCCTTGACCTCAGCAGCTCAAGGTCTTACTCCCCAGCATCAGATGTTACAGTTGGACCCCAATGCTGCACTCAAGCTTGCTTATGCAGATGGTGGACGAGCAGCAAGGTGAAGATTACATTAAAACAATTAGATAACAACAAAAAAATAATTTTTTTTTCTGATCTTTTAATTCACATGAGTATTTGTAAATGCTTGATTTTAAACTACAGTTGAACTTCGGTATCTCGAACATGGATATCTCGAATACCATGGATATGTCGAAGTGATTTTGAAGTCCCAACTGCTTATTCCTTAAATATTTTACCCGGTATATCTCAAATCCTCGGTTATCTCGAAGTAGTTTCTCTGTCCCTTCGAGTTCAAGATTACGAGGTTTGACTGTACACATAATTTCATAATAATTTTGAACTTTGAATCGGTTTTCTGTTTATAAAGTTAAAATAGTAAGCATAATAATATTTCAGTCTAGCCAGTATGTATGGGATGGGAGAAGTGGTTCAACAAGCAGAGCCAGAAAATTCTGAGAAGTCTATTGTGATGTTAGATGACTACAATAGTGACCTCCACCTTGTATTGGATGATGATGGGTGTGTACATGTAAAGTGATACATTCTTTATTATGCTTTCTATTCTAGATCTCATTCTATTGTAAGCTTCATATAAAATATCTTCTTTATACATGACAGGTATGGTGCTCGTCCCTTAAATGATCCAGCGGCATTCTGTTTTTGTTGGGCTGGTGTCAAGGCCACTCATGGAGTGTACCGGGGCAAGGTCAGTTTGCTAGTATTTCCCATTGTTTAGTTATGGTATCTTATAAATGCAGATATGTATAAAAAAATATATTTTAAGACTAATCATCTTGCAAATTCTTGCAATAAAAAAAATATGAAGCTGATTTCAAGGCCTTTTAGAGAAAAACAGTTATACTGATTTTCATACCTACATGTATTTAAATAATGTCAAGAAATAATTACAGTGGATAATGTTGATAATGTTGATTTTCAGTGGGTAATGTTGATTTTCAGTGGGTAATGTTGATTTTCAGTGGACAATGTTGATTATCAGTGGGTAATGTTAATTTTCAGGCCTATTATGAGATACAAGTCACAGAACACCAGCAGACAGATTTTGGTTCTGACCACCAGGAGAAAGATCCACACATTATCAGGGTGGGCTGGTCCCTGGAGGAGTGCTCTCTACAGCTAGGTATAACCTTGTTACGTTTCCCTCGAACCAAAAATCACTTTATCACATGTACAGAAGTGATCTTAATTTGCTAAAATAGTAGAAAACTAGTTGTAATATCACACCTTTGTTTTAAATCTTTTTCCTTTTATTTAAACCAAATTAACATCTTTTCACCCACTTCTATCATCCTGTAGAAAAAAGGAAATGTCTAGCATGATTAGAATTTTCAAACCAAGCTTAGCTTCTGCTGACCGCATCCTCAGCCCCCCCCTCCCCCCCCCCCCCTCCCCCCCCTTTTCACCATTGGAGTCAGATTTTTTTTTATAAAAAGTGAATCCAAAAAAGTCTTTCAGAGAGATTCTTCAAGAAACACCAATGTTTTTATGCCTCATATTAGATATACATGTATCTGGATTGATGCCTATGATTAGTGAAGAAGAAACATGCTTGTAATACAATAACGAGAATTTAATAGCATATCTTGCTCTACTCAAAACTTATTTTGTAGGAGAGGAGCCATATTCTTATGGATATGGAGGGACAGGAAAGTTTTCACAGAACAATAAGTTTACTAGTTATGGGGAGAAGTTTGGACAGGGAGATGTGATTGGTGCATTACTAGATATGGACAGTCAACCACCCACAATCTCGTACATGAAAAATGGCCAATGGCTAGGAGTAGCTCACACACTGCATGGCTTTACTCCAGGCATCAAAGAGAAGGCACTTTTTCCACATATACTGACAAAGAACTCAAGGTAAATATATTTCACGACAAATTTGTTTCTCTTCTTTTCATTTTAGTGAGAAAAAAATTTGATAACAATTTTTATCATGTATAGGTTTCGCATGAACCTTGGACAAGAAGGGACTTGGTATCCACCCCCTCAGGGCTACAACTATGTGCAGCAGGTTCCAGAAAAAGTGAAAAGTATGGATTCTCCAGAGAAAAAGAATGAATGTGAGGTGAGTTTTAAAGAAGAAGGGTGTAGCATGTTCCTACTGGTTTTACTAAATTGCTTGGAAGACATAAATCAAAATTTATACATATTTTTTTTTTTCTAATGAATAAGCTAAATACTGTTTACTGATGTATAGAAAAAGTACATATAGGCCAGGTGTCCTTTTATGAGATGACTAGGAAAAATTTCTGGAGCTGCTTCAAAATGAGTACTTATTTTGATTGGGAAGGGGGGGGGGGATTGTGCAGATACGACCATTACCATACCTCTCCCTTAGAAATGTATAAGTGAGCACATTTCCTCTGAGTGCTTAATTTTAACATTTGAAATTCACATATATTGAACATGTCCTCAACAAATGATATGGAATTTTACTAATTAATGAATTCATGATTAATTAAGACATGAGTACTTTCACAGTGGAATCATCATTGTTTGTGGGGAACCAATGTTTGTGGAATTTGTGCATGACCCTTACCCATGAATTTGCATACCCAACCACAAACCGTGTGAAAGTATCAATTCATTGAATCATCTGTATATATACTGAAGAAATTGCATCCCCAGAAACCAGTAAATATTTGGTTGCCTTTGAACATTGACCCCCATGAATTAAAATGATTCCACAGTATGCAAGTATGAACACCACAAGTTGTCTCCCTGCCCTACCAAGCAGTAGTCCATAGAAAAAATGTACTGTACTATAGATGAAAATGACTTCTGATTTGTAGATGATTATGATAATTGGTTTACCTGGTGCTGGAAAGACAACTCTGGCAGAAAACATGAAAAAGAGTTATCCTGAGAAACGGTATAACATCATAGGCACAGATACCCTCATAGACAAAATGAAAGTCATGGGGCTTCCCAGAAAAAACAATTACAATGGTCGATGGGAAGTTCTTATAGATAAAGCCACAAAAGCTCTCAACAAACTCTTTGAAATAGGTAAGGGTGAATTATGCAATCATTTGTAATACATTTGTAGTATATAATCTCCAAGAACAGTGAAATTACAATTTGAAACTGTCTATTGCCTGATGATATAGTTACATATCTTGCTTGAACAGCAAAGAGTAAGAACAGAAACTACATATTGGATCAAACTAATGTATACCCATCAGCAAGGAAAAGGAAGATGAAAAACTTTAATGGCTTTTTCCGGAGAGCAATGATATTGCAGCCAGATGATGCTGAATTGATGAGGAGATCTGAGAAACGTACAACAGAAGATGGTGTGTATTTGGATGTTTTAATCAAGATTTTTTTTTTTGAACTCTAAATAGTGCCAGATTAATGTATTTATTTCACCAGACTGTGTAAAAGTCCTTTGAAATTTTGCAGGAAAATTTGTACCAGAGTCTGCAGTACTAGAGATGAAGGCAAACTTTAAGTTACCTGATGATAATGATCCCCTGTTTGACAGCATTGAGTATGTGGAACTGCAAAAGAGGGATGTTCAGGAGCTAGTAGACAGGTTTTTGCCTTGTTTTCATTATAGAATTGAAAAGCATTCACAAAAGGCATTGTCGAACATTTTAGTTTGTACATAGAAACTGAGATCTGTAATATATGACACTTTTGTAGGTACAATAATGAGGGAGCTTCTAGAGGGGTGCCAGGTAGATTTGGACAGAAGCCTTTCCAGCCACCAGCTGACATGCGCCAGGTATTTATAAATATTATTACAGGGACAATACCACCTCCCCCACCTTATCTATGGTTAAAAAAATGAAAAGAGAGTATATATTTATAAAGAAGGTCTAAAGATATAGTTTTATTAAGTTGATTAACTGTTTTAAAATTGATTTTATTTATAGAAAGATCTGTATGGTTGCATATCTTTGAACAAAAAGAACAATTAATTTACATTTGATTTGTCTAGAACTAAAATTTATATATAGGTCATATACATATACAGGTGTATCATATTTATTTATTTAAAGAGATTTTAAAGATTGATAGATACTTATGCTTTAATTAAGACTCCATCTGCTTCTATACAACATGCCTAGCATCAATTGACCCTTTAACCTCTGAACCTTGGTGGTATTGTCCTAACCTTTCCTCAATCTTAATAATGCCTAATGATAAAAGCTTGACTGTATGACATTGTGTACCATAGTTTTTCAATTTAGTGAATACAAATATTGTCTCTTTCTCTACACTGTCGGTATGTCTGACACAGTAACCTGTGTATATTGTTTCATGTATTGCTGTGTTATGTGTAGAAAATTCATGTCAACAAACACCATTTTCAGGATTTCAGTCAATAATACTAACTTCAAACAGCTCCTTAAAGAGGTCCATCACACACACACAAACTGTGTTCCTTCCCCTTGTTTTTTTTCTACCATTATTGTAATGAATGGGATTTTATTTCATATTCTTGTTATACATTATTTCGCAGTTCTCTGCTTTGTTCCTTGTGCTTTGTCATTTGTATCTAGGTAACAATTGTCTAGATCAACAGGAGAGTACAGTGATACATCTATCATACTGTTTGTTTGACTTGTTTTCAGGGTTTTTATCTTTTTAGAAGACTTGCCCCAGTAGTGGCTTAATCCTATGAATTATACACATACACCCCCCTAAATAATCCTAGTTTTTAAGTTAAAACCCTATACTATGATAAATGTGAAATAAGCACCATGTGTATTCATTAATGAGTGGATATATTACTATCAGAAAACACTGAGGATAAAGTTACAGATTTGCTATAGAGAGAACTGAGAGCAAATTACACAAGTTTTCATTGAGACCTAGGTACATGTATCTAGCATATAAATTCATATTTGAAGTAGAAACAGAAAAAAGGACATTTTACAAAAGAAAAACTCAAGATTCATATTCAATGAAAATTCTAATATGCTATGTGAATCAGTATTTCATTTAAAAAAAATATCCAGAAAGTTACAAACATGTATTTCATCAGACAGTCCCTTTGTAAAAAGTCCATAAATGTAGCAAATAAATGATGCTTGATTTGTTTTATTTTATGATTTTCTAGGTTTATTTTTAATCATTGCTAGTTAATTTTGTCTAGAGAAAACTTTAATAAAGAAAATTATCTAGATGCAATACCTTAAGTTCAGCAATTGAATGTTTGAATTTTTTTTTCCATCAAAATATATTATTAAGAGCTAATGCCAAGTTTGATTAAAAATGAATGCATGGTGATAGCTTTCAAAGATGATAGGAAAAGGATTTTAATAATAATATTTAATGTTTTATTCCCTACTTTATGTTTTAATGGAATTAAAGTGTTTTTTTTAGTCATATGACTTGATTATTTTACAGGAAGTGACATAACAATTGCACATTTTGTTATTGATAATGTAGCCTCTGCACCTTCTTCCTGGCAGATGTAATACTGTAATAACATAGGGGAAAAATCACAAAGAATTTTATTGAGCATGAGTACATGAAGATTACCTTAACTTCTAACTTTATTTATTTTTGTTTTTTTTAATGTTTTATAAGAAAAACGTGTTTCTATGTAAATGTTTTGCATGAAAACTTAAACATGAATAACTGATAAACATACTTATATTTAAATGATAATTATAATGGATTTTATCTTAACCTAAATGCAATATACATGTATATATTAAAGATATATTATTTAAAAGTTTTAAAGAAATATTGAACAGAAACTTAAATGGTTTCTTATTAAAACATAGTGCTAAGGCTGTGTCCTAATACAATTTCTACTTTTAATGACTTCTATTTATAGATCTTATCTTGCTGCTCTTAATATTTCTCCTTTATGGTTTTTAACTTATATAATGATAGTAAACCAAAAAATATGTGTTCCTTTCCATTGTTACATTTTAATAAATCAGGTGTTTTAAAATATTAATATGTTTAAAGTTTAGCTTAAAAAGTTAAAGCAGATTCAAACATTTTATAATTGCTAATTCACATAATTAGATTTCCAGTGAAATGTTAATTTTTCATAGATATTATTTTATTTAAAAAAAAAAGGATAATAATGCATAAGAATGTGTCAAATAATTATTGTTTACAAGGTAATAAAGTTTTAAATCATTATAGTTATATTTTGGAAGTAAAAGAGTCCCAGCACTACTTTTGCCCATTAAGCAGTATGCATTGTGAAGAGATAGTTGTTGCTATTTGTTGTATCAGAATCGGGACAATTGTTGGAGGATTAAGACAGAAGGCTTTAGCAGGTCATTACCTGTGGTGATGGTGGAGGAATTGCATGACAGTTCTATGTATATATAGATAGAATTTTATCAACTAATCCCAATTTCAGGAGCAGTTGAATGTTTATGTTTTTATCTTTTATTTAACTTAAAGGCATTTATGAGTTGGATCATCCCAGATAAGAATTATTTTCATGAAGGTAAATAAGAAATATTAACTTGCTTTCCAAAGGTGTAGATGTTGTGACAGTTGATTCTTTCCCCTCCCAAAAAAAGCAGGTGTCTTTATGTGAATTTTAATGAAATATTCTGCATAGTGGACTTGATAAATGGCTTTATTGCTAGCTTAGAGGTGTAAATTGTTCAAAACCCAAGGGAAAAAAACAAGACTGAAATACAAGCTCTCTTTCTTAGGTGAGACATGGATATGTAAGTTGTGTAGAGATTGGACTAATTCCATGTTTATAGCAGCTGCAGTACTTTGTGTCTCTGTTGTTTCACTTTGATTACATTTAAAGATAAGATAGAATATTAAAATTAATGTAAAAAAAAAAATACTTGAGCTTAAATTTTGTAGTTGAATGTGTTTCAAAAATACTAGAAATATTTAATTATTTTCAAAAAAATTGAGTCTGATTTAGAGAAAGCACTGCAGCTGTTATCTGAATGCTAACCCCTGCACTTTGTAATGGAATATTTGTTTTATTCAGGGTGGCTCGTTTTCAAACCAAGCAAGTAATGCCCCTCCATTACCCCAAAATCAGTTTGGAGATCGATTTCAACAAAGCAACTACAGCCAAGATTATGGCCAACAAAGCAGAACCAGAGATTACGAGAGACAAGGCAAACATTCAGCTTCTGGTGGAAGGGATAGTGAACCTCCAGAAAAAAGGGGTAGGTTTGAAAACAGTGGGAATTCCAGTGCATTAGATTTACTCAAACAAGAGTATGAAGATGATGAACCATCACAACCACCAATGGCAGCTCTTATGCAAGTAAAAGAAATCAAACAGGAAGCTCAGTGGCCCAGAGGTGCTGCTCCTTTTGGAATTGATCCCCAGCAGTTAAACACACAAAGTCTATTAGGATTGCCACCCGGTCATCTTTTGGCTGGGCAGCCAGTAGCATTCGGTGGATCAAATCTTCAACTTATCAGTTCTGCAGGGCTGGCAGGAGCAGCTGAGAGAGCAACCGTTATTCCAGGTTATGGCCAGGCCTTTGCTCATGCTGCTGCAGCTCAACCAGACCTTGTAAAGGGTTTACAGGAGAAGAGAAATCTAGCAGAAGCTGCTATGAGGGCAGAGGCAGCTAATGCTCTTCTGGCACAGCAGACTGCAGCAAATCAGCAAGCACAGCTTGCTGAGACTTTGAAGAACTGGCAAAATCAAAATCAGCAACAAAGCAATAGCAGGCCTAATAGCCGTGGAGGCTATAATGATCAACAGGGACGAACACGTCCACATTCAAACCCCTCCCAAGGTTCTGGATATGGAAGGACAAATGCTCAGTATTCCTTTAATCCAAACCAATCAGCTAGAGATCAAAATAGACCTAGTAGTGCAGACCAGAGAGAAAGCTATGGTCAAGGGAAAAATAATCAATCTGGCAACTCTGGTGGTAGACTAAATTATGGCCAGGACTCAAATTCTAATGAATATGGTAGCTCAGATTTTGATAAATCCTCCTTGGACTCATCCCAAAATAATGACAAGCGAAGAAGAGAAAGGAAGAGACCCAGTAAATGGGACAATCCAGATGACAGTAACAGTAATGCAACAGCAGCAGCTGAAAGTGGTGTGAGTCAGGAAGTGATGGCCAAAGTTCAGGCAATTCAGCAAAGTATTCAGCGACAGCATGAGCAACAGGAGTCTCAAGCCACTGAGGGTGGTTCAGCAGGAGTGCCTTCAGATGAAGGCATCAAGCAGGAGAAATGGCCTGACGGTCAAGAAAATAATCAGTTCCCAGGGAACTTTGGTGGTCCCCCAGGTCCAAGAATGGATGGAGGTGGTTTCCCTCCTCAGCGTGGAGGATTCGGCGGACGGCCCCCAAGACCCATGATGGGAAGAGGTGGACCCCCTGGTCCAGGACAAAGACCTCCTCTACCATTCAGGCCACCAGGTCCGATGGGAGACAGATTTCCACGTCCAGATGGATTCCCACCAAGACCTGATGGATTTGGAGGTCCTCGTTTTGGAGGAAGGGGACCTCCTCCACCAGATCAAAGATTTGGAGGACCTGGAAGAGGTGGTCCACCTGGTCCTCCTCCTGGGGGACCTCCTGGACCCCCTCCTCCAGGTGGCCCACCTGGACCTCCACCTGGCCCTCATTTTAGACCTCGAGGTCCACCTGGTGATCAAGGAGGCATGAGAGGTGGGAGACCACCATTTGGAGGAAGAGGTCCACCTCCTTTTGGTGGAAGAGGAGGAGGAATGCCAATGAGACCACCACTTCCTAGAGGAGGACCACCTGGCGGAAGGTGGCCACGGCCTTAAATAAGTGTTGGGTTTTATGTTGTTGCTTTTACTCATGTCATCATGTAGGAGAATTAAATAGTTTTCAGCGTGGCTGTTTTTAATTTATGGGAGGTAAACAGGAGAATATTTTTTAAAATCTTTTTTTTTTCTTCAAATTCCTTCGTCATGAATTTTCAAAGCAAATACCAAAATTGTATAATATCCTACTACTTGACTAATCCATTGTAGAAAGATAATACATATACCATAGCAGATGTTCTTTTCAGCTTTTAACAGGAACATTTCTAAGAGTAAATTTAAGCTTTAGTCAAAAGTAATTATTAAATGGTATTTTTATAATTTGTCTAGCAAATGAATAAACAAGTGCTAATGTTATTTAAAAAGTAAAAAGCATTCAATTTATATGTAAAAACATGAAAAGTAAGAAATTTATGATTTCAAAGAACAGTACTTTTTTTGAGAAACAAATTAAGAAGTGTAAATTGTTTACAGCCTAGAATTCCTACATAGTGCTTAGTTATATGAATGATTTATCCTTTCAATGAATGATCATTGTATACCATTTTTGTCAATTCTTGAAAGTATAAGTTAATGATTTTAAAAGCTTCAGTAGAAGAAGGAGACATTTTATTTCAGGTACCCGGAATATGCTGTATAATTGTATTTCAGTGTGATGTTTAATTATTTAAAACTAGAATTTTGATTGAATTTTGCATATTACTATGAACCATGATTTGCACAGAATATAGAAAGGGGAATTCACTGTAGGAAAATCAGCTTAATCTTTACCTTGCTTCAATGAAAACTCAGCATCCTATTTCAGATGCTCTTTTGCATGTACAGGTTGTGGAATGAATATTTTGTCAATCAGTTTAAAAAGACCCAGAATCGTGTTTAGAAAAGGGCATCATTGATCTGTTTTTCTCTTTAGAAGAACATAGTTGAAGTTAAGCTAAGTTTTATGGTAATCTGTAAATTTATATCTATGAAGTTGATTTTAAAAATCTAGGTGTCTTTAGGAAGTGTTATTTTCATATAAATTTAGTATATAGAAGTGTTAGAAGCTTCATTTATAAAGTGAACATTGTTTTTTAACGTGTAGAAATATTATACTATATTAGTCATTTTCAGGTGTAACCCGTTCACACTACAAATAGCATGCTTTTTATTAACTGTATCATCGGGTCTTCTTTTATGTATAACCTCTGCAATTGTTGTATATAAAATGATTTCCATGTTTTGTGATGTCAATTTTGCATAAACTCAACCACTGTAGGTTTCATCATACCGAAGCTAGGTAAGCATTTTATTTCAGCTTCGATACACAAGGTGTCCTCCTCGTTCTTTTCAGCAGAATGAAGTAAATTTTATAAAATTTATGTCTTTGTTATTCTATGAATTTCAGGATCTCGGCAAATCTCGTGAAATACGAGATTATAAGTTGTTTCAAATTACCTTGATGTTCTTATTAATATGTGCTACTAATATAATCTACTGGAATGATATTCCATCAATTTACATTCATACAAATTCTAGCAAAGTTTATATGCACAGCTAGGGGCGTATATATATACGTCCCTTGAAAAACTGTTTAATATATGCATTTAGGCACTTTGCACAATTCAAAACATATTTGCTTAATTAATGCAATTTTCTGTCAGTAGATTTCTATAACGTTAGAAGCTGATAAGGGGCTATAACGTTAGAAGCTGATAAGGGGATATAATTTTTTGATAATGACAATTTAAGTATGATTAATGTAAAAGATACATATATTTTATGGTTAATAGTTATTTAATTTTCACACACAGAGGTCTAGTTTTGGATGTTGAGAAGGGGTGGGGGGATGTAAAATCTTACTAGTTAAGATCTCTTCGGAATGAATAACCTGATTGGACCAAGTTTGCGATCTGCTTTGTTTAAGGTGTTGTAAAATATGCTAATGGAGAGTTAATTGTTGATTACAATGTATTTTTTGCATTTATTGCCACCTATAAATGTACGTGCAATTGATGCACTGCTTGAATCTTTTGAAGATGGTATGAGAGACAAAACATGACACTTGGGAGACTTTTGATCAAGACGATTGGTATTTGTATTTTTTATCAGTTTTTTTTTTTTTTTTTTTTTGGAAAAATTAAATCGTTGTTTGGCAACCCCTAAATTAAGAATTAAGATATGAGAGCAGGGTACTGTTTAGCTCTAAACATTGATAAAAAATGGTTGGTTTGGGTTTTTTGTACCCTGCTTGAAAAGGGGGGGGGGGGTATTGTGATGGGGATGTACATCCGTCCGTTACGCTTTGGGGTACCCATCTCTTATCTTCCACTGAATAAAATTCAGTGAGACTTTCAAAGAATCTCTGTTAAATAGAGCCATTGCGCAGCTCCTAATTAACTTTTTGATGGGACATATAGTTCGAGTTTCCAATAACAAGACATAGTACCATTCTGTCAAACATATTGGGGATACCCATCTCTTATCCTTAAGTCCTCTTACACCACTGAATAATCATGGCTTAAAAGTTGCTGTAGCATTTCACACGGAAATATAATGAAAAACTTCTTTTATCTGGAAATTATTGGAACTACGTATGAATTTGGACGCGTTTGATTGACACATCCTTGCACTTTCACAAAGTAAACTTTATCCTTAATACTAAGGAAAAGTAGAAATTTTGTTGTGTATTAATGAAAAAATTAAAGATATAATCCAGAAAATTCAGAGTAGAAATGTGAAAAAGCAAAAACAACTCACCAATATTGTAAATGATGTGTGCAGAGTTTCACAAACTGAACACACCCGGTGGAACGTAAATTGTTTTGTAAAAAGGGCACGGGCTCTGTTATTGTTAATGTTTACGTTTCACCGGGTGTGCAGGGATGTGTCAATCAAACGCGTCCCGAAATTCGTAGTTTCAATAATTTCCAGATAAAATAAGTTTTTTTAATTATATTTTCGTGTGAAATGCTATAGCAACATATAAGTCATGATATAATACAGAAAATTTGACAAAATATTAACTTTAAAGCTGAACATGATTCGTAAAAGCAATGTGTCCGCCATTTTTGTTCGGATTCTCGCTATATCTGAGGACCCCTATATAAAGGGCATGACTTGGACACTGTTCAGTGTAATCAGTCGACACCGGTGTAGACGGACGTATGCTCTACAGGGTAACAGGACGTTTCGCCCCTATTGACGTTTCGCGTCGAGACCATTCGCCCTCAAAGACCTTTCGCGCCTAGACGTTTCGCGCCACATTTAATCTACATTGTCTATGACGATTTATTACGATGTTTTAAGATAAATATTTATATATAAGGTTAATATTGACTTTATTAAAAATGTTCTAAAGTTACTAAAAAACTTTCATGTTTAAATTGTTGAAAATAGCTTATACCATAATTAAATGTATCATTATCCATGTGCAGATATAATTATGTTTATTCAGCAATCATAATTGTCTGAGTCAGTTTTGTAAGTAAGGTGTTATAACTATAATTTGGAGACTAATCATGTCAAGATAAAGAGGAGAATTAAATTATGAGACGGGTGTCAAGTTCATTTTACCGTTGCTCAATAGGATGCACACTGACTCCAATTTTCTTTGCGATTTTGAGTCAACACCGTTCATCTAGCTCTAGCCTAAGCTCTTCTGGTCTCTGACCAGTAGAGCTAAAAATATCAGGTCATTCAAAAATATCTTTTTTTAAGTAACAGTAATTTATTTTTAAAAAAATCAGGTCTGAAAATTTCTTCTTCTTTTTTTAAATTTTAGTATGATTATGGGCTGGGGGATATATAGCATGATAAAGAGATAGATTCTCAGTTTTTTTAATTCTCTACAACTGTATTTTGGTATGCATCATCTATTAATATTTCCCCCATACAGGCAGAATTATCTCAATCAGCCGGTCTACAGAGTGTCACGTCTTTAGTATATCCCATATAAATTGGTTTTATTGATTGAACCAATGGATTGGATTAATATAACACAGTACAAAAGTATTATTAAGAAGTTAATAATTGCTGTTTACAAGTGATAATTACCGCATAATTAATTAATTGATCTTCGGCGCGAACCGTCTTGGGGCGAAACGTCTCAGCGCGAATGGTCTTTTGGGGCGAACCGTCCCGCACTCCTATACAGCACTCGGTAGCGACAAAAAATAACTGTAATACCTCTTCTAATGCAGGAAAGTAAGATACAAAAGAAACTTACAATTATAGTTGTACAGGTCAGTGCAGTATACACACAAACACAGATACACGTAACTACAATAAAATGTAAACAAAGGTAATGAAAGATAACCAGCACGAACACGGGTCGCCATTCCACGCCGACACCCGTGACAATAAAGCAGTCAGGTGTAACGAATGCGAAGAGTATACCCTGGTGTTGATGTATCGTAGATATAATATCGAAATCGGCGTATGCCTATTTACGAGTCGTGTTCAGCGTTAATTCTATGTATATGCCCCTTTAAAAAGCTCAATTTGAATACAGTATGTCTGACACTATTATGTTCATATAAACCTCGTATTTGTAATTTTGTGATTATAATTTTTTTTCTTTTCCTATTCTCTGTGCCAAACTTTCTTATATCATGATCAGACATAACATTAATTTATGAAAAATCCATCTCTTTTTTTTTCATCTGAATCTAGTGCTGTAGTTGGTCATGTCAAGTACCTTATTAATTTTTGTGTGTGCACTAAGTGGAAATAATGTTTTGCCTTCTTACTAAATGCCTCTGTGTATTACTTGCAATAATGTTTATGATTGCTTCAAAAGTACATGACCTTTTCTTCGAGTTTGTTGGATTTATGCCCCACTATGAATATGGCCGGGGCATATAGTGTTTGTCATGTCCGTCCTTCCGTCACACTTAGCGTTTAACCCAGTTTCAAAGAAACTATTCAAGATATTTTCATTTGCTGATAAATATTGATGAAAGCTATTCAAGTGCATCAACATTTTTTTAACCTATCCTTTGACCTTGACCTCACTTTTCTAAAATTTGCGTTTAGCTCAATTTCAAAGAAACTTTTCAAGATATTTTTATAAAATTTTATATGCTGATACATACTGATGAAAACTATCCAACTTCATCAACATTTTTTGACCAAGACCTTTCCTTTGACATTGACTTCACTTTTCTTAAATTTGTGTTCAGCTAATCAAGTTTCTAAGAAACTATTCATGATACTATTATCAAACTGCATAATGATTTGCTGATACATAATGATGAGAGGCAGAGCTATTCAACTGCATCAAAATTTTTCTCGAAGGGGGAAATTTATGTTTTATGGACATACATCTAATTTTTTTAGCTCTACTGGTCAGATACCAGAAGAGCTTATGCGATAGTAAGGTGTCCGTCGTCCGTCCATCTGTCTGTCCGTCTGTAAACAATTTGTCAAAATGTTACTCCTCCTACAGTTTTGGTCTGATTTCAATATAACTTGGCACATAAGTAGACTACAATAAGATACATAGTATATCGCTTTTTGATTGATGAAGAGTGTAACCATGGTTACTAAAAATAGAAATTTCTTTGAAATACTTTCAAAACGCTACTCCTCCTACAGTTTTGGTCTGATTTTAATATAACTTGGCATGCAAGTAGACTACTTTGAGACATTATTGTCTTTATCAGATTTTGATGAATGATGTTGCCATGGTTACTATAAATAGAAATTTCTAAAGAAGAAAAATTCAAAAGGCTTCTCTTTCTTCAGTTTTAGTCTGATTGCAATAAATCTTGTAACATAAAGAGACTAAACCAAGGATCATCATCCTTTGTTATAAGATCAAACCAGTAGAGCTACAGTCTCGTCAGGGACTTCTGGTTAACATATTGAAGTCGAGTAGAGTTCATTAGTGCTACATCCCAGGCAAAATAAATTTCAAAGTTACTATGAACCTTATATAATGTAAACGAGAAGTATCATGATTCATGCAAGCAATTGGTTTGATAAATGAACCTGTTCTTAAAAATTAAAAAGGACAAATAAGAACATACGCAACGTAGTTTGAACTTTATTGTCTTTTTCCCTGGAGATGAAGAGTTCCAATACTTAAAGGAACCGTGTTATACAATTTAATGTCTATATATGCTGTGTACACCTGTTCTAAAACAAGTTTGGAAGAACAAAACATCTAGAATAGATGTTTAGTAATTTTTGTATATTTTTCTTTAAATTATACAAGAATTTTCATCAATTGATATCTTTTCAAAACCCCTTGTAATGCATGCTGAATTTTTGTCTACGAACATCTGATGGCACGATAATCTTAAATTAAGAATGTCTTGAAAAATTATCAGCAGGAAAGGTACGTTGCGTATGTCCTTTAAATGCTGGTCACCCCCCCCCCTTTTTTTTTTATTTGTAAGGTCGGGCACTTGCAAATTCTAGGAATCGGACAATGTAACCGTTACTGAGGGTCAAAGTTTTTCAAGAATATGTCAAACTCCAAGGTCAAGGTCATAAGGTGAAAAAATAGCATCAACCGTTGAGAAGTTATGACCAAGGTCAAAAGCAAATAAAACTCCAAGATTCTGAGGTCAACATTGTTGGACCTAAAGGAAAGGTGTCACAAGAAATACAAATATGAAGTAAGAAAGCTCTAGCATCAACCGTTCAAAATTTATGGCCAAGAATAAGGTTTATGAGGATAAACAGAAGGGAAGACCAAAAACTAAAACAATAAACACTAATTCTAATGTACTGTCTCTGATTTATTATTTCCTGGTCATTTTGGGGACATATTTGAAGCCCTTTAAAGTACATTTGAAATATATTTTCCTCATAACAGCTAGGATATTTAACTCTTTAGAAAAAATTAAACATTCAATTTATAATAGCACTGATCCAATATAAGATGTATAGTAATATTTTATTCAAAGAAGATGGGCGAACAAGGCGAGCGCAATCCCTGTAGTGCAACAAACATGAATGTGAAAAATTAATTATAACAAATTTTTCTTCGATATTTCATCTAAAAATAAAGTATACTGTATGTAAAATCTCCACAATTTGCAATAATCTCACTAAGATTGAAAATATTTGCCTATGAAATGGCAAACAAACACTATAAGAGAGGGCAAAAAGGATCATTTTCTCATACTAAAACACAATTTAAATGCCACAATTCTTCACGAGCTGTGTAGCGTAGTGGCTAACGTCTTGGTCTCAAAGGAAAATAATACTCAAGATTTTTATTGTTAGGGTTGAACCCAACAAATACCACATTATTTTTTTAATAGCAGAATAATTTTTGCCGATAAAATTTTCCTCAGAAAAGTTTTTTTTTTTATCATAATTTCCTTAATTTCAATAATGAGTACTTACTCTAAATACTAAATTCATAAATTGATTATGATTTTTATATATCTGAATGTATAGGCATTCTGCGCGCCTTGTTCACCCATCTCCTTTGCATTTTTGTCAGTTTGAATGATTATTCCTATCATGATTTAGTATAGTAATGACAAGAGGTCGCACAGGAAAACCAGTAGAAGTGCATGCATATATCTTTGTAAGTTTGGTTGAGATTGGACATAGTGTTAGTAAGGAGGCATTTAATAAATATTTTTGACCTGCATTTGTGTCGGCTCTGCTAATTTAAACAATAAAACACTTTCTTTGGTTGCAAGTGTGGGAATTAATGTTGCAGAAAAATTTGCAAAACCCGCGTACGTGTATTGCGTGTAAAACGTTACATTATTATACTTTTTTGTTATTCAAAGAAATTATTATTCTAATGCTAAATCATATCATTCCTATTCGAAAAAATGTGATTACTTTCAGTAAGTTGTTATTCCTATTGGAAAAAATGTTATTCCTATTCGATAATTTGTTATTTCATTCGATAAATTGTTATTCCTATTGGAAGAGATATGATACCTATTCCAAAATACATGTCATTCATATTCGAAAACGTGTTTCCTATTCGATAACATGTCATTTATATTTGAAAACATTTCATATAAACACATCATGTATTATGTAAAATTTGGATCTCTGCCTTCGGCCGAACCCTAACCCCAATGCTCATAATTAAAAAAAAAGAAAACTGATTCCATATTTACATGATTTAGTGCACAATATGGTTTTGCCACTGAACAGAATTCTTCTTAATAATTTCCCTGTAAAACTTTTATCCTTTAGCTACAATGTAGTTATCTCAGTCCAATGCAGATTCATAGCAGGTATAATGTTTAAAAAATTTATATACTCTGTTTGTATGTAAGGTAATTACATTAAATCATAGGTTTCTTTCCATTCTGGTATAGCAGTGCTACAATTTAAAGGACATATGCAAAGAAGAAGGTATATATCTGTAGTACAATTAAAAAAATAAATTCTGAAATGAAAAATGTGTTTGGTTTCTTCATGTTCTGCCTAGATTATTGTGGCAATTTGGAAACTTGTACCAAGTTCCATATTAATTTATATAGCTGCATATTTAGGAATAATATATAATCATTGTCGCTTTGAAATATACCTCAGAAATGATATCCGACATGCAATTTGTATGATGGTTTTGTGAGGTGCCATGATATTGTTTCTCGCAATAAATATTTACTGTGGAAAACCATATGTTACATACTAGTATAAAATTACAAAGTATAAATTGTATATCAATTGAATGCAAGTTCTCGGCTTTCTGTTCCCTAATCATTCGTGTTGGGTGAAAAACATTGTGAAAATTCCAGACTTTGCATTGAGGCATGGCACGTAACCTTCCTTATATTTCGATAAGGAAAAAGTTTAGAAAGCCTATACGGATCTCTTTTTTCTTACGAAAGTTACATAGTGATTTTGGGGAAAAAATTAAATCTTGGATTCCATGGGATATGAAGGATATATAGAATTTGATAAATCTAAGAATTTTTATGAGCAAAGTACGGTTTACAGAAAAAGATCCTAGTAACAATAGAGTTAAAACGGTTCATAATCTGACGCAAAAGTGTGGTCCTCTCAGTAAAATCTGGCCATTCTATTTCTTTTAATAATTTTTTAATATGTCAATGGGTTTTCTTGAAAAGGTCATTTAGATGGACTTCGAAGAAGCAAGTCCACTACATCCTTCTACTACAGATTACAGGCTAGTGTTTGTGATTTTGTGATTTAAGCCACCACATGTTACGGATAATAATTCCGGATCAACCCGTCGGTACAAGCATTATATTAACAAAATGTTCAGTCCTGCATTCCAATGTATTTTAAGTTGAAGTCTAAACGTGAACCTTGCATTTCCTACAGAAACTCCCCAAACCTGGCAGGCAATTTTCAATTATAAACAAGCCTTACATTTCCTAGATATTGAGCATCTAGAGCAACAAGAGGCCCATGACCATACCGCTCACCTGAGCACATTTGCTAAGAAATCAGTTCAGTATAGAAAAGATTAAATATATAAGTGGTTTAAAATATCCCCCTCCCCAACATATAGATGTGGGAAGCTGATTTAGGAAAGTTCTAAGAGTATTTGAAAAGAAAATCTTAACGAGGTTGAAATCTTAATTCTTGGGAGTAGTTGGGAAGGGTTCTGTCTTGAAAACCAAGGGGTTACAATCCCGTGGATCTGGATACTGGAACGTTTTTCCTCCAAGATATTCTTTGTTATGTTGGATTCAAAGATTATAAGAGAAATAAGTGTTTTCCGAAAAAGATATTCATTAAAAACAAGATTGGAACATTATAATGTCATCCACTGCAATATCACCGGTATAAGAATTACCAACGACACCCTCGATCACAATCTGAAACAGCAAAGACAAGAATTATTTGTAGGATATAGTAGTGCCATTACCATTCATGGAAGTACATGCAATTAGTTGAATTCAAAGTACTGTGTTCATATATGAGAAATGTAAGAAATACTAAAGCATGATCGTTGTGTATTTTGATTTTTTTTTTCTTTCACCAAGGTTAAAGCGATTTTGAAAGAAAACAAATTTGCCTTCCGTGTATAAAAAAAAAAAAAGATATGTGCAATTTGACATCTTCGACATCTACTAGAATCTAACTGAGTGTGCTTTAGAAGCTTGGTAAGGATAGAATGAAAAAAAGGTTCCATGCGGCACTAAAGAGTGTTCATAGCTAGTTTTCAACTCAACAACTCAAGTGTGGCCAAACTTTCTTCAGTCTTATTTTGAATTTGTATTACGTCAATAATGTGAAATATTGGCATCAGTTTTGTTGTTGCTTGTAAACTTTATCGTCCTACCATTTTACCAGATTTTCAGTGTACACAACCAGCTACGGAAACCTAAGTCTCGAGTACCTGATAATCTGTTTGCATTGGAGGAAGATGGACGGTGGCTTTGTGCCACACATCGCCATGATTTCCGAAAAGCTTCCATACACTTTGTTCATGCCCCTCAATGGTTACTAGGAGTACTTGTAAATGTGCCACGTGCTCTCCAAACATATGATAATGGAAGATCAGACAGGACACTGGGTTGTAGCTACTGATGAAGGGAGAGTAAATACGGGCTGTGTCCCCCATCACTCTAGGCGCCGAGCTCTCTATGTAAAGGTAATAACCTGTGGAAAAGAAATGAGACAAATGCTACAAACTCTTTTTTTTTTTCCAAAACCATGACAATAACAGCTAAATACATGTGTATGTTTATATAATGAAATGTGAAGATAACAAACAGTAATCAAGCTCAAAAGTCCAATAAAACAATATAAATAGTAAGCAGAACAAACCCTTATTCAGATTCCAGTTTTTCTGCAGTGTGCAATCTGACTCCCTGTGTATTCCGAAACAAATTTGTCTAGCTCCCAGTGCATGTCGGATTATACAGGTTTCACTGTATCATCGACTTATTTTTCAGTAGTATAAGTAAAAGGAGGGGGAGGGTAAATGTACTAATTTCCTATCTAGCTTGTAACACGAGATATGATTGGTTAGTAAGCCGGGTGTAAATTTCCGTAAACCAGGCTTGAGCCGGGTTTAGATAACATGAAAAGTTTCTCTATCACAAAAAGCAAATAATATGACGTCATGAAGCATTGTATCGTGTAATAATGAAGCACCATTGAGTTTACGAAGAATTTATTTGGTTACATAGGTCCAATCAAGGATGTACAGGGATTTATCCCAGGTTGTATTCCAGAGAAATAATGTGCAGTTTATTCATGAGAATCTGTGGTGTCTACTATTTAGAGTTCAATGGTATACAACGAATTAAGGAAGGAATAAAAATAAATGTTGTCAGTTGATAAAACGCGTCGTCGATATATCAATGTGTTGAATTGAAGACCACAGCAAAAGACTTCCTCTTTTCATGTAGAAGTTTTTGAATAAATTCTGCTTCATATGAATGCAAAAACATGTAGATTGCTAATAATTGGGACAAAATTAGTACCCATGGAAATTCCAAAAGAAGTTGTTGGAAGATCTGGTCTCCGAAATATGCATGGATATTGTCAATGAGAAACTCGAGCATCTTTTTAATATCAACCTCGGAGTACTTGTGTGTATAATCAGAATTATTTTAACAAATTAAGCAAGTCTGCACATGAACAATGACAATGTAAGCAAAGTTCCATTCTTATTGAAAAAGGTGTCTATGATGTCAAAAAGTCTAGTCTTTAATTTATCGTGGGGAATGGTTGTGCAAAGTCGTACCTTTTGATGTTTTTGATTATGGTAAATTTTTGTGCTTTCAGATTTTCCAAAAGTTCCTTGGAGTTTTTTTTTAAAATATCCACATCTGATTAACACCACGTCTTGAATATGTTGTTGTAAAGTACTCCTGAAGTTTCTCCTTCACTGTGTTAATATTTTCGTAAGGAGTAAAGGAGGTGGCTTCGTACCATTTATTTTTATTTTATTTATTTATTTATTTATTTTTTTATTTAGACTGGAAGTATAAAAAAAAATACATGAACAATATGTTAAGCTTCCACCTGACAAAGCTTGTAACAATTAAAAAGCTCGTTCACTGTTATGTTTTGGATCTAGTTCCACAGGCCCGTAGCAACAGTTTCAAAAGTGGGGGGAGGGGGGCAACTCCCCTTACCCCCCTCCCATTCTACGGGCCTGTTTCACACCTTTTAATATAACTTATACTCAACAGTTTCCTTTCAAAAGATGAAATTCTTCCAAATTACGTTTTCATTTGAAATACTTTAACATTTCAGTCAATAAGAAAGTGAATTTGATTTACCGTACCTATACTGAATTTCAAAACTTCAGGAATAACGATATACAAAGAAAGATCCACTGCAGGATCCAGTAAATGTTCTAAAAAGCCTTTTATCCACTCCTCACAAAAATATTAATCCTACATGTTGTGAAGGAGAAACTCCAGATGCATATTCAAAAAGAAGTGTAAATCATATGTGGATTTTTCGAATATTCCAAAGAATTTTTAGAAATTGGAAATCACATTTTTCCGAAAGTCAGAATATTATTATCATCACTCTGTACAACTATTCCTTATGATGAATTAACTTTAGATAAGGCTTTTCGATATTGTATAGACAACTGTTTCTTCAATAAAAATGGAACTCTGGAGTTTTAAAATTTTGTGATGGCCATGTACAAAATTAATTTGATAAATTCATTCTGATTCTATACAAAAGTACTTTGAAGACTATATTAAAAAGATTAAAAGGATGCTTGCGTTCCTCGCTGATAAACTGTTGGAAAGTCGACATGTTTCATATTTTTATGATTCAGAATTTATTTTAAAAAATTGTACATGAAGAAGTAGCATTGCAGCAATTACTGCCAAAAATGCAAGAATTTTCATCCACTATTAAGCCATTGTTTGCCAGCAGAAGACGTATGATCCGCCCTTAGTCCAGTGTTAGGATATACTATCACGCCATTGTTTACCTTCAAAGGATGTGTGATCCGCCCTTGGTCCAGTCTAGGGATGTACTATCACGCCATTATTTACCTTCAGAAGACGTGTGATCCGTTCTTGGTCCGGTGAATGGCCGTAGGAACCGTGGGGAGGGTGGGGGGGATAATTTAGCCTTCATAAGATGTGTGATTCGCCCTTGGTCCAGTGTTAGGATATACTATAACGCCATTGTTTACCTTCATAAAACGTGTGATTCGCCCTTGGTCCAGTGTTAGAATGTACTATCACGCCATTGTTTACCTTCAGAAGACGTGTGATCCGCCCTTGGTCCAGTGTTAGGAGTGGCAGTTGACCCTTTCATTCTTGACCAATCAAAGTCGTCAAACACATCGTTCTGCCATCCACAAAAATCGCTATCAAAGTCGCAGGAGGCATCTGAAAAAAAGTGTTCTAAAAGTCCAACAAAATATGTATTTAAAACTGAATCCAATCCCCTGGAGTCAATTGTATATGACACCATTTATTGATACCTTTATTTCCTTAATTATTTTTTTTCTTGGGGGGGGGGGGTCTTTTTGCTTTGAATATATTGCTTTTTTGTTGTTGTTTAATTTTTTTTTTTTTTTTTGGGGGGGGGTTACTTTGAATATACTTCTTTCACATCATAAATTTACCAAATATCAAAAAAAGATTCCACATGACACTATATTTATGAACTACTTTCATGTTTACTTAACTATCTGTGAGAATGCAGTTTATGAAATAATAACGTTTTATTCCTTCCTACATGTATCTATTCCATCGTACTCATTCCCTGAGTAACTGAGAATTGCTTTGAAAGCAATACAAGTACTCACCAACCTTGCATTCATTTTCTGTAATTGTGACGTCATCTATGGCAATGTCTCCTCGGTACCCAAAGCCTTTCATTCCCACAAATGTCACCTGATAAGTAAAAATAAATTTAAGACCTAGACAGAGATGAGGAATTTGGTATTGCTTTGACAAAGGGGATGCTCCTAAGAGCTGATGTATGTTGATCTAACTGTAAGCATGAGATTCAGACAACATTAAGGATCACATTCTTTTGGAAATAACGTTCATGTGTTATTTGTTGGAATTTCCATGGGTACTTATTGTGCTCCTTTATTAGTCAAGCCCTGATTAAATTCTTATGAAGAATAATTTATTTTAGAAATTCTGCACGAGAAGAACACTTGCTGCAACCTTCAATTTGACATTTAAATATATTGATGACGCTTTCTCAATTATAATAAAAGGTTTTGTTTTTTTTTTTATTTATACGTCGACTAGATATATCACTGTGAACTTTACTTAAAAGACACCAAAGAGTCTGCGACAACTGTTTTGTATTTCGATGATTTACTTACTATAGACGTTAATGGAAAACTTACAGCTAAACTACATGCATATGACAAACCACACTACTTCAACTTTTCCATTGTCGAATTCCCTTTATTTTTGTAGTACTAATATTCCACTTTCATCAACCTATCTCCCAACTGATTAAAAAAGGCATGTTCTGAGTACGATCGAGGCAAGCTATTGTTAAATAGATTGATGTTACATGACTTTCTTCAATCTCATTTAAACTCAACATTTAAGAGGGCTGGGTGGTTGTGGCCATTTTCAGACTATATTTATCTCCTTTAGAAGAACATATAAAGATATACAAAAATGATCAAATTTTAAAACTAAAATGAATGAAATTTTTCTTTGCCATATGATAGTTGACAGATTAAGATATCTTATCTAAAAAAAAAAAAAAAGTTATATCTGCTGGTTAATTTGTTGACCCCCAGCCTCCTTAATAAATTCTTTGGTCGTTAAAATGACATTTATTTGCAAATATAACCTAACCTTGGGTCGTATTTTGACTGACATATCCATACCAATTATTAGGCAATTGAATTATACTAATTTGACATGGATTACTCGGTTTACCTGATCAATACAGAGGGTTCACTGCTGGTGTGAAAGATCGATAGGGGATGCTTACCCCTCTTAGACACCTGATTCAATCTCTGGTGTTTCCAGAGTTTCGTGCTTTTTCCCTATTCCCAATTTGTATTATAAATAGGATTTATGAGATTGATTATGTACAGCCTTTTTCATTATGTACAAAACCCATAAGCCTTTTGTCACAAAGCAATGTTCGATTTCGTCAATTTCAAGATTACAAATACAGTGGACGTACTTTTTTCTGCGTGGGGTTAATTTAAACTTGTATGCGCCACATTCTTTCCGCAAAAATTTGTCACAGCGTATATAAAGTGCATTTAAGACATATAGGCAGTCCAAGAAGTCCCTGCGGATTGAATAGAAATTGTGATTCTATGGAATTATGACCCCATGGAAAAGTGTTACAGTTTTTAGTTATTTTGCAATAGCATCTCTATTGAAAATGAAGAATTTTTCATTCTGTTACATGTATACAATTGAATTTAAAAATGCAGGTTTTACTTGTTAACAACTAAGTGATTAGTTATCATTTCAACCAAAGTAATGAAGGAAATTCATCAAAATCCAAAGCGATTCCATGTGATAATAAGACGGACTGATTGAATGTCCTACCCAGAATGCTCCCTGACCAGATATTGGAACCATCGCACTGTGCCACCCGTTGCCCTGGTCACCCTGTTTCATCCACTGTATAGATTTGTTGACACCTTCTTCTAATTCTACTCTAAGCTCACCAACATCAGCCCCATACATACTGTAGAAAAAGGTAAGGCAGTAGTCTCCGCTCCTCTGTTGAAAATAGCGTATCATTTGAGAGAGTTCGAACATCAAAAGAGACGTGGCTTAATTAAAGCTGTGTTTTGGTACTCTTTGGGGGAGATTTTACCTGGAGTAAAGGGGATCTCAATGTTGCCTCACTTCCTGGTGCACTTGTACCAGACGTTTCTATATAAAGGTATGTTCCTGAAAAAAATTGTTATGCGTGTCATGTTCTTTTTTTCCCTTCACATAGAAAATTCAAATTTGGAATATTTAATTAAGTTAATGATGAATAAAGTAGAATTATTGATGTGTAATGGCATTGTTTCCCAAATTAGCTGAAATTGTTAAGTTTTATACCGTTCTGACAATCGGTGCGGTCACATTCCGGACCGGTAAGGATAGTGGGCGTATCTCCCGTGTTTTTTTGCCAGGCAATGTCCGTCGTCTCCTGTGACCAGCCACAGAACCCAGTGTTAAAATCACACTTGTATACTGTATAAAAATGGACTTTTTATTCATAATCAAGATTACTTAGAGCGATATACGCCAAATTTTGGGTGTAAATGCAATGGACTTTCTTGTGAAAAAAAAGTGTTGGTGATCGAGCGCTTGAAAAATTTCTTCGCAGACTTTTATGAATCTATACTCGGGTTACGGGAATTAACATTGATATATTTTGATTGAAGCACAAACATCAAGAATTTTCATTTTGCTAGTATTTGCTGAAAATTATTTTATGTCGAGAGGTGAATTTTGTGTCACAAGTATACAGAACTGGGTAAAATTTTACTTCTATGAAAAATTTCTATTAAAGAAAGTCCTCATAAGAATTGGCGTGTTAATTTTAAAAAAGAAATCCATAAATTACTATCTTAATTAAAAAAATATCTCAAGAAAAGGCAAATGCTTTGGAAAAAAGGCAAAAACAAATGCTTGTAATGCTCTTGAATAAATGTCATTTATCGTATGATGTTTAATATTAAACAGGGTTTTTTAAATTTCTTTATCTAAACGTTAAAAAAAAGCAATCGCATTTTTTCTCCTTTTGCTACTTTTTAGCAAATCCTTTTCAATTGCTAATGAAACATCAAAATATGAAATTCCTTGTTTTGATTGTTTTACTAGTACATGTATTTGCATTTTAAGGCAACGTTAAATATTACAAAATGTTAGTGAGCCGAGAGCCAAAAATTGAAACTACATATGGGTTTGTTGCATTAAGAAATAAATTGTGGTCGTATTAATTGTTCTTCATATTAATGTTATCATGTTTTAAATGTAATCATGTGACCACTGATGCTTTGAACCACTGTTGTAACAGCATTTTGATCCTTGTCTTTGAACAAACAAAAATGTATAAAATGCATATCAATGCGAATAGTTGTAGAATTTATCAAAGGTTTAATCATAAGATGATTTCTTTCTTTTAATCCCCGTAAGCTTTGGATTTTTACTGTGACTCTATCCGGAACTAGGTTCTGAATGAAGAGTTAATATTTATTTAATAACCGTAATTCGTAAAATTATTTTTTTTTCTTTCATCCTGTTATTCTACGGGCCCGGCTCTATCTTGCAGAAATGTCATGATTTCATCAAAATAGACCCATATATGAATAAACTCTAACCTTACAAAAAAATATTCAATTTTACAGCCATTAATTTGTCAATTTAAAAAGAAAGCAAAACCCAAAATGTTTTAAAGTCTATAATGCGCATGCTAATTGATACCCGACACAGGCCCTTAGATCGCTTTAAAAAAATTAAGGTGTTGTCTTTTATATACATCCAATTTTTTTAAAGTCGGATTTAAGCGATCCAAAGGCCTGTGATACCCGACATTCAGATTTTGGTTGGCTGTTGTAAATACTCCATAAAATGCATTTTGAAAATGGGGGGGGGGGGGTAAAATTAACAATCTACTAGCTTTGCCCACTAATGGCGCAAGTAAAATTAGAACCGTAAATGTAGGAAGGTCTGCTTTTCCGAATCTTGTATATAACAGAACTCCCTCCATAGGGGAAGATTTCATATGTACAGCAATTTATCCGGCAAGAATCTTTGTTATGGGGGGAAGTTTTGCTCTACCCCCTCACTTCTGTTACACTGACTAAGAGAGTCAAGATGGGAACAAACTGGCTTTTAAGCTACAATTTAGGTTATTTCTCGAATTCCCTGTATAGTTTTTGAGTAAAAAGACGCAAAACCAAGTTTTGTTGAAAATGATGTAAATACATGTAGTGCAAAGAAATGGCTGATATTTAAATTACTTGTGGATGTGTCCAAGAAACGAAATAAAACAATTCAAAATTTTTTGTCCTGATTCTAAGTACCTAAAAAGAGGGATGTAGTTCTCAATAAATGGTCGATTAGCAATCCTTGTAAGTAGGATCTCTATTTGCTAGAATCCCGTTATTGACTACCGACTTTTCATTTCACATACTGGAGGTAAGATAAACCCCACCCCCATCCTCACCCAACACATATAGATGTACGTGTTGATAGATAAAGAAAAAAGATAATTGATTTAAACTCACGAGGTCATACTAGCAAAGCGCTAATAAATTGGAGCGTAACTTAGAGATAGCTATTAAATTTTATTTGATAAAAAGTCAAAGCATAAAACAACAACAGCAACATCGGTAACAACAAAGCACATTATGTACAATATATAAACATGCAAGGCACTTATAGGCCAATAAAAATAATCTTAATTTGTAAAATGGAAATATGGCACCATGTAAAATATCAGCTTCAACAAACGCTTAGAAATATTTTCGAAAAATATTTTTTGTCTGAAATATCGGATGTAAAATCTTAAGTCCCGGATGGTAAGGATAATTGTAGATAGGATTTGGGCTCAAAATTTTTTGAAGTGCGGTTTTTCTTAAAGGATATTGATTAGGGAAAATTTGAATTTCTTGACCTCCTTGTTTCTCGGTTTGATCTCCTGGTCCAAGACTACAGTCCTTGATGATGACGTCATCAATCCCAATGTCACTCAGGAAGTTTGGTCCCACGACTCCCTCCAGTACAACCTGTCAAAAAAAAAGGATGGAATTTATTAGACACTGACCATCTAAGAGTTATCCCTTAAATGATTAGTACATTTACACAAACTCTTACGTACATCTCTATTACTGTAAACTTGAAGGACGGTATACAAAATTTTCTAACAATTCCAAGTTTTATTCAATAACGCCAGTGGTACAAATCAAGCGCTATTAGGTGGGGTTTATTTACTTTGAAAGGAACGTTTGGATTCGTGAAGTTCACTTCCAGGTGGTTCCACTGAGATCCGTGGTCTCCAGAGATCGGAAAAGTTTGGAACGTCTGGGTAAGCCCCTCATTTTGTATGAAAACATTGAGTGAACCCATCGTTTCTCCGTGCATATGGTAGTATAACCTGTAAAGTAGATGTCAAATTTATATTCCTTGGTTTCTCCATCACTAGTAAGAACAAAAATTTAGTTCAGATCGAGAGCTTGGCTTGAGCTTATGAGCAGGTGCTCGCCTTGGTATACAAAGTACAGCTTACTCTAAACACATGCGTCCTGTGCTGTTCATTATGTGGAAAAGTGGGGATAGTAATCTGGTCTTATCTCCCTTTGTTCTATAAGAGGACTCCATGTAAATGTAGTATCCTGAAAGATCAACCATTTATTAGAAGTAACTGTCTGTATTCTACACTGTTCTATATCGAAATAGCATAGAAACGATACACCTGCAATAAGATACGTTATTTGTCTACCCTAGTGTGTAAACTGACCTGTATGATCCTCTGACGTGTGGTCTAGATTCGGACCAGTATTTTCTGTGTCCGTCTCTTTGTTATTTAGAATCCAGTTTCCTACAACAGAGTTTTGTGGATCCTGTGTCCAGCCACAGAAATTTTTGGAATCAAAGGAGCAAAAATGTATGAAGCCTGCAATTAAAGTTTGATACTATTCACTAAAAAAAGAAAAAAAAAACAGACTCAATTTTGTCTCGGCAAAATAACATGTCGCAACTTTAATTTTAATTCTATATGATAATACCTTCTTTTGGGTTAAGACACTGGGGTTGAAATCCAGACCAATCACCGTCCATTTTACAAAATCTCTTCCGGGGCCCGACCAACATGGCGCCGGGATCGTTACAGGAGTAGGCAATGGTGACGCCAACCCCGGTGTTTCCGGTCTCTGCGAGGCCCACTATTTTACCATTTCTGAGTGGCCCGGGATTGCTGCACTGTTTGATACCTAGAGAGTAAAATGAGTTATCTATTTAGATAGACTTAGAGAATTACAGTTACAAATAGTTTATGAAAATTGATTGATTGTATGATGTTTTACGTCCCGTTCGAGAATTTTTCACGTCACCATATACCGGTGAAGGTCTTCAAATTTAGAGCTTTACTCGGCACTCAGGGCTATTGAGCAGTGAGGGTTCTATATCGTGCCACGGCCTACCGTGACACGGAGCCTCCGTTTTTAAGGTCTCATCCGAAAGACCCAAACTTTCACTTTAAAGTGCCGAGCGCTTGAAGGAAGGAACAGTAATGGGTTGCTACCTATTTTTTTTATCGACATAGGTCAGTCCTGGCCGCTATTCGAACACACGACCTTCCGATCACGGAGCGAGCGCTCTACCGACTGAGCAACCGTGACGGTTATGAAAATTGAAGATGATATTCTATAAAGAATGTACTTGAAAGATAGAAGATAGCAAAGTACATGTATAATTTCTTACTGCATTGGTACATTTTCCTGATTTTTTGTATGTCCAGCGTACTGAGACCATCCCTCTGTCCAATCCTGTATTCCTGGTTCTCTGGGAACGGATTGTTCCAAGTTCTGTTGACAGTAAACGCTCTCCCCTTAGGGTCCACTTTGTCTTTGGCGAAGGTTTTAGGAGAATAATGCATGACAGATGTGTAGTCGTAGTCTCCCAAAATAGTCACCTCGTCTTCTTTCATTTTTTCAAAATCAGATACATGGGCTGAAATCAGATTGATGTGTGAATTTACAACAATGGATAGAATAAAAGCTTTTTATTTACTAAATGTCCCTCACAAATTATTAGTTTTGCTGACACTGTGAGAATTAATCATATTGGTTAGAAAATATTTTATTTCATTGAATAATTATTCAAATAGAACAACAGACAGAGTTCTTCCCTACGCTTTTCTTACAGTGAATGATGTTGGTGTAGTTGACCACGATATATTTATCCCTATCAGGCCGTGTGTGTTCGTGCCAGAATCCCAGAGCGTGCATCAGTTCGTGGTATACGGTTCCAGTTCGCTCGGTACAACCGGGGCCCAGGGACACCTTCTGTTCCCCTCCTTGTCTCCCCACAGAACTGTAACAGCTGTAAATTAGAGGACAACTATCAGGAGGGTCCTGGTTATAAAAGCTGTCCCATAAATAAGATTGACAGATCTCTAATATCCTTAATTCCTCCCCCCCCCCTTCTCCCTTTACATATACATATATACATAACGTAGTATAGGTAAAACTTCTCTTACCCGTGACCCTTTTGAATCTTAATGTAATCGTTCTCTTTAAGCCTTGGTTTGAATGTTATGCAGTCTTGAAGAAGTGCTGTCATTTTGCCCAATGCACTTTTTATAGCTGTGAGCTCTGTAACCGCTGTAATAGCAAAAGTAATAGATAAATGATATGACAAGTTTAAAAGTATATGTTTGAATGTAATATCTGTTTTTATTTAAGGACATACAATATCCTGTGGTATCGATGATGTATGGAATTATCCGCCCTGTCCACGCTAAATCGCTGTCTGTTGCCGCCATTCTCATTTCAAAATGATGAACTGCTGATTTCTAAAAAGAAAAAAATGCGAAGATTTATAAAAAGACGAGAAACGAACACATTGGATAAAAGGTTTGGTTTTTCATGTTTAACTGAGCTACATAGAGAACACGACAATTTTATTTCTACACATCACATCAACACATATAAAATCTGTGTCAATGTGTCCCCTACTTGAACAGGTGAACATTTCTCACTTAATTTACAATGTTTGCTGAAAGTACATCACAATTCTGATTTAGTTTTCTTAAAGATTTTTTTTAAATGTTGCCACCGTGCAATGTTGTGCAACAACAGTGAACAAATTTTCCCAAAATTTCGCATAGGCCGTATAGTTCAAAGGTTTTTGCTAATAAAACACAGTACATACTCGGCGATTTTTAATGATGTCCCCTTCAACTAATGTCTCCCCATCCATCAGATGTTCGAAATGTCCGTTTGTCTGAATTTGTACTGTAGAAAGCAGGGTAGATCATTTCAATTATTCATTCCTTCATTTCAATATTGTTACAAAATCATGTTAAAAATTAATTATGATTTTAAAATTTGATACTTCGGATCAACATACCTGCACCTAGGTTTTGTTCAGGTGCTGTGACATCGTAATCCACAGGTAGCAGAAAACATGATCGGACCAGCAGAATCAGGACTACTTCTCTCAGATGAAACATGGCAGCTAAATATCAACAACTGCAAAAGAACACGCAAATTTATACTTCATCGTAACATAAAAATGAATATATAAATTAAAAAAAAAATAAATAAATGAAGACAGAACCTCAGGTGAGTCATAGAAAGCCAATCTTTTTTCGTTTATTTACCAACAAAATTATTTTCTAAGTTCCTCCATAATATCAGTACTGACCCAATAAACCCTGTAATAGGAACTACACTAAAGAAAACATGGGAAATGATAAGAAAATCCATAGTCTATCTAGAACACGTGGACAGCAAAACACGCTCCCATGTTCACGGAAATCACTCTCTTGTCGCCCAGATGTGAATTTAATTAATAACTGCGTGGAAGACGGATAGATGTAACTACGGCATAAATCGCCACTAAGTACACGCACATATAGCTCTGAAATGTATTGTAGAAATTCGAACGAAATGGGTTTAAAGTTATATTGTTTTGAGTAATTCATTGTTTTCTTATGTAAGTTGTTCTTTATTCACTTAAAAATATATATACAACTTGCACATAATCTATAGGAACAATTTCTAAAAAAAAAAATTAAAAATCTAACTAAGATGTTGTTACCTAATTCTGTGCCAATATAAGAAATAAGAAAACTAAAGAAGTAAGTGAAACCAACTTTAAAAAAATAAATAAATTGACAAGTGGAGTTTGTTTCAAATATTGATTTTTATAATATTTCGTTACAAAGAAGAATTTAAGTCCTAGTAAATAAGATATTCAAAGTTAGAGTACACCAATCGATTTAAAGTATGAATGAAGTTGAACTATTGATATATCTCGAACATTAGAAATTTCCTTTTTCAGTGTTCATGTGATATATTACATAAACTCACATGCAATATATATATATTACTTTCTGTTAATATTAATAAGGATAATTTATGCATTATACGAATATAAATTAAATGAGAAGTGTGCAAATAATTTATTTTGCTGTTTCACTTCCTTTAATTTATATATTTGAGTTAAAGGTAAATTAATTTTTAAATTAATGACTTTACTGATCAGCAGAACATTTTCTACATTAAATATCTTACCTCTCAGAACACGGCAGAAAATATGACAAATCGTGAGTGCACTTGTAACTTTATAGGATTTTCGGGAGGAAAAACAATTAGATATTTTCAAAAGTAAACAAAAGTTGCAGATATCATGGGCGTGGAAAAATTGTCGAAAGCCCAATGAAAGTGACATATATTTGTGATCGAGTCATGCGCTAACAATATAAACAAAAATTCTGGGTCCGACCAATGGCAAGGTATATTCCCATATTGGGTATATTTTGCACCATTTCTCACGTGCTCTACACACTGTGAGACAGACATACAATTATCACACGTTTGACAGACAACAATGCTGTCGTTTTTGTCATGCTGGGGTCCTAGGATTGAGGACCGAGCATAGAATTACGTTTTAAAGCATGCTATATTACGACTAATTGGGAGTTAGGACAGAATGCAATCAAATTTACTGAAGGTTTGAAACTGTATATGTTCGTCCGCAAACATAATGTCAAGCTCAGCATGCAGTGGTGGGTGTGTTCGCTGTGAATCCAAGACGATATAAAACCTTCATGAAGCCGTTTTAACACCTAAAAATTGTACCGAATGACACAGAAAATGAGGAAAAGACATTTGGTCTCTAACTGCAACAGGCCATCGTTCCCGATCACAACCTTTAATGAATCACAAAAGTATTAATTCCTCTTTTCATTAATGCATACTCTATAACCACACAGGCAAAGTATTAGGATTTGAAAAAAATTAATATTGTCTTTTATTTATTTGTTTGGCTATTTGATTATTCTATTATTTATTTAACCATTCATTTATTTATTTTTTTGCACCTGGTTTTGTTTAATTGAGGGTATCGTTTAACTGTATAAAGTAATAAGAGAATGACATATGGCTTCTTTAGTTAAAGAAAAGAAATATTCTTTTTAATTGGAACTGAAAAGGACAATTTTCGTTGCACGATAATTGGATAATGCACTTTAGAATTTTTATATTCATTACTAATGGACTTAAAACCAGTGGCAAAATCTTATATATTTTGAACATAAATGCAAATTCGTTAATGAATGCTTGCTTCAAAATCTCAAGTTTTTTTTTAAATATTTGAGTTACCATTCTAAGTTAATCTATACCGAAATGTTGTAATGGGTTTAAAAATTTAAAACCACGAGATTTAAGAACCACAACTTTATATAATAGTTTTTCTTGACCTTCGTGTAATACTTGTCTCGAAAAACTTTGTCATGCAGTCATTCTTCTACATATATTAATGAGACGCAATTGTGTAATTAAACTATTAAAATAGTAAGATATTCTTGTCTTCTTTTTAACTTAAGCCAAAAACAAAACGGATGTAAAAGGTATCTATGGATAACGAGACATTTTTATTTTCAATAACTTCGACACAGGACTGTCTCGGGAAGGCATAGAACAAACTATGGACAGGTAAAAAAAGAATTGAGAATTTATAGCCTTTATATTTTAACATGTAAATTTGTCATGTTTCCTCCTCTCAGTTACTTCAAAATGTTTTTCTCACATTTACAGAGTTAACTTACCATAGCTAGGTATGTTTATCTCACATTTACAGAGTTAACTTACCGTAGCTAGGTATGTTTATCTCACAGTTACAGAGTTAACTTACCATAGCTAGGTATGTTTATCTCACAGTTACAAAGTTAACTTACCATAGCTAGGTATGTTTATATATGTTTATCTCACTTTTACAGAGTTAACTTACCATAGCTAGGTATGTTTATCTCACAGTTACAGAGTTAACTTACCATAGCTAGGTATGTTTATATATGTTTATCTCACATTTACAGAGTTAACTTACCATAGCTAGGTATCTTTATATATGTTTATCTCACATTTACAGAGTTAACTTACTATAGCTAGGTATGTTTATCTCACATTTACAGAGTTAACTTACCATAGCTAGGTATGTTTATGTATGTTAGTTAGTTTAACTACAAATTAAGATACTGTTTCTACACGCCAATGTTGTATAAAGTTCCCAATGACCAAAGACCAAGAACTGAATTAGCATGGAATATGCAATTCTGTATAAAGTTCTTAATGACCAAAGACCAAGAACTGAATTAGAATGGAATATGCAATTCTGTGTTAAGTTCCCAATGACCAAAGACCAAGAACTGAATTAGAATGGAATATGCAATTCTGTGTTAAGTTCCCAATGACCAAAGACCAAGAACTGAATTAGAATGGAAGATGCAATTCTGTATAAAGTTCCCATGACCAAAGACCAAGAACTGAATTAGAATGGAAGATGCAATTCTGTATAAAGTTCCCATGACCAAAGACCAAGAACTGAATTAGAATGGAAGATGCAATTCTGTATAAAGTTCCAAATGACCAAAGACCAAGAACTTAATTAGAATGGAAGATCCAGTTCTGTTTTATTCTGATTGGGGGGGGGGGTCTGTAAGAAGACACTGTGTAAACTGAAGCCGGAAAACTACTTGAAGATTGTATTGTAAAACATGTAAAGGACTGTGACAACATCCACCAAGTAAGAAAAACTTTGTTATATCCGTAAATTCGTTGTATCCATGTATGTACTAAACACATTTTACTGTATATTTATCTGACCTTTCTGGAATGCTTTATGCCATGGACTCGGACGAAGTTCTGAATAGACAGTAAGTAATTTAAAAATAACTATTTTGACCAACCTATGAAAAGAAGAGGAAAAAATTGAAATATGGTGCATAGGGTTCAAATCATTTATTTAGAAAAATGCATTCCTGTATATTCATAAAATTAGATAATCTGTATTTGACTATTTACTTAAACGCACAAAAATTTCATTGATGATTGTTTATAAAAGACAGTCAAATATTGTGTTGACTACTTTGTGATATATCCTGCCAAATAGATGCAGCTGTAAGTCACCTGAATCCCAAACATGAAAAGTCTTCAGATTCAACTTTTTTTTTTAAATGTTCCGATGTCTGATGACACTAATCAACATCTGGGTTTGCTTCCTGAAAAAGTTTTGTTAAAGGATATTTCCCTCGATTTTTTATCTTCATTTATGCAGTAGGCGGAATCATACTTAATTACCTGGCACAGGGGGCGCCCATTTTATGAAATGAGGAAATTCGAGCTGGCCCTGAGGGGTGTGTCTGAGGAAGAATCTCGTATAGATTCTGACATGTCGTTTGTCATTGTTATTATGTAGTTATTAGCTGAGCCATTAAATGACCTTTGTTTAAACATCTAAGGGTCATTCCAGTAAATTACCACCAAAGAATTAAAGCGAAATGCCCCGATTACCATTATTTTCTGCAGACTTTATAAATTTGATACATGTTGAATGAGATATACTAGGAGTAATATGGCCTCTGTTTCAAAAGTTACTAACAGAATGTTCCTCTGACTGTGATGTCTAATATCTTCATTAAAATGAAATGAATCCAATTTCTGTAACAATTATCATTCCAAACGTCTCCTGATTTTAACTAGACTCCTTTGTACTAAGAGATGAGCTTTTGTAAAGTAGACAAGATACTGCCATGTCTTATCTTTCTCATCAATGATCTAAGCTTAATATATAAATATCAGAAAAGATAGAATTATTCTCAAGATGGAGAGAAGAAAAAGGTAACAGGATCGGGGACAGTAAATTTTAATTACATATACATCAGAAGACAGGGAGAATTAATGTATGATTCAATATCCATGTCTTAAATTTTATAAAAAGTAATTGCAATAAATTAATCATTTCTAGCGATGTTTACTATTAGTTAAGAAAATGTCATACTTCTATCGACCTTGATACCAAAATGATAGTTCATTCATTTTTTTTAAAACCCTGCTGCTCTTCGAACTAACTATAAGTGTGAATAGATAAATCAAGGAACCGGACCGCGGGGCAAGTATGAGATCATAGCTCTATAAAGAGTAAAAACCCGGAGAAGTCGAGACCAGTGGG